GCCCTGCGGGCAGCGCGTCCCGCGGGCCGGGCTCGGCCGAGCAGCAGCAGCACCAGCCGGGAGGCCTCTTCCCGCAGCAGGAACCGCTGCGGCCTCCCAAGACGGCGCCCCTGGGCACCGGGATGGCAGGTACGGGCTGCTCTCGCCGCTCTTTCTTTTCGCGGGGCACCTGCGCAGCTCCCGCCCGCCGCCGGGCAGCGGCCCCTGCCCTCGGGAGCGTGGTCCCGTTCCCGGTGCGCGATGCGCGCCCCGCGCTGAGGCCGGGCCAGCGTGCTGAGCCCTGCGGCCGGCGGACACCTGGGTGACGAGGGAGGGGTAAGAAAACAAAACCCAAAGAGGTTTGGCGTTCCAAAAAAGAGGATCATCTAATGCACGGTGCAGTCACCTCACCACCTGCTGACGATGCCCAGCCTGTCCCTCAGCAACAATTGACAACTCGTGGCCAACTCCCCCTCCCAGTTTATATACTGAACGTCACATTCTGTGGGGTGGATTATCCCTTTGGCCAGTTCGGGTCAGCTGTCCAGTCGTTGCTGCCTCCCTGCGTCTTGTGCATCTGCTCACCATCAGAACATGGGAGACCTATGTTATTGACACTTGCCTCATGCTGAATCCAAAACATAGTGCTGTACTAGCTAGCAAGAAGAAAATTAACTCAATCCCAGTTGAAACCAGCATGCTGGTTTTAAATACAAGATGATGCTACTGTAATTTTTAAATAATGTTTCATATGTACTTGTCTATTTTTTTTACCCCTTCATGGGTGGTGGTGGACCTGGACCAGGTAAAGGTGTGATGATGTATTGCAGCTGCTTGCAATACTCTCTGCCCTTTCCCCCCTTTTGTGCCCCCACATCTGAGTGTGGTTTTTATCCATCTGTTAATCTGACTGCAGATGGTCTCAGCCTTCCCCCTACTGAAGAATTCCAACCTATTTGCAAAAAAATAAACCAAACCCAGCAGTAACACAAAGCAATGTTTGTTGGTCAGCTTTTTCAGGTAGGTATCAGGTTCTGTTTTCATTAAACTTATGAGTAAAGAATGGTTTGGAAAATAGTGTTTTAAAAATGCTTCAATTGCATGTTTTGGTAAATGGTATATAAGAACAACAATAGCCAAGTCTCCTTGAGAATTTTGTTGAAAATAAGTGTTGGTCAAAATCAGTAATGTCTGTCATTTATTGACCTTCCAAATGTATCTTGTATCTCAAATCTGTGAAAAATCACAGGATAATCAAATGTACTATAAGCAGATTTACTAGTTGCTTAGGTTAACTCTTAGACAATCATGTGTTTACATTGAAAATAAGTTTTTTTCCCATCTCCATTCTTTTTTGTTCACCTGCACAAGAGCACTGTTTACTTTCTATCATGTACAAAGACATGTGGAGTGTGTTTAAATGAATTTCCATATCTAATAATAAAAAATAAAATCTATATATGTAAAGTAAACCTGTATATTTAAAGGAAGTATATTTAGGGTAAAGCCACACTTTAAGTAAAAAAATGCAAACATATATTTTTTCTGTGTTTACTATTTGTGAATACATACTAATTTACTGATTTCTAAGACAAGCTGTTAACAAAAATTTTTCAGAACACCTGCAAAAGACGGGAATTCCATCTGGATCACAAGATAAAGTTTCAGTTCTTGATTCTGGACCAGAAATGGCTGAACCTCAGTTAGCTGTGGATCCTGTAGCAACATCAAACTTGTCTGCTAAAGCACCTGAATTTTATCCACCAGGGTACAACCAGAACTTCAATCAGAATTTCACAGTGAGTATTTTAACTTCATTCTTTAGTATGTGCTAATTTACTTGTATTCAAATTAGTAATGTTTTCTTGAAATCTTTTATGTCAAATAATTTTAATTCTGTATTTGCTGAAGCAATTGCAAAAATTCTGATTATAACCTCCAGAGATCCAGCCAGAATGTTAAGTGATAATGGATGAATATTATGATGTACATGCTGTGGGATATTTTGCCAAAGCTTGCTGCACAAAACCATGTTCCTTTTTGACTACACCAGGCGTTGGTTCCTTTCAGCATGAGAGTCAGCTGTTTTTTTTGGTGACTACCTCTGTTGTAGTTACATCTATACTGCATTTTAAATGAAAGCATAACTTCACTTTTATGCAGAATTCACAGGGAGAGAAAGCTTGAACTTTAGCTTTTCTGAGCACAGGCTTTGCCTTTCCTGAATTTCCTGTGCCACAGGTACCATTCGTCGTGACTGCCTAAGCTGCTGTACCATCCTGTGTCATCAGTAGTGTTGTATCACCAAAGGGCAGAAAGAGTGTTAGACTCGTTCCTACCAGCACACCTAGTAAGAAATGTATTTCCAGCCAGATTCAGATCAGTTTATAGATGCATCATGTAATAAAAGCTGGTACTTCTGTTTTCTACTCCATTCTCTTCCATGTTACTTCTTCAGTAATTCTACTCCAGGGAAGATCTCTGTGAATTCTTGGCATATCCTTTTGTTATGCAAACAGTCAAACTTTGGTACTATATCTAAACAGGTGGGAACTTTTACAAATACAATCAAATGATAAAAAAAAAGGGGATGCTGAATCAAATTGATTTTTGGTAACGGGTAGAAAAATACTTCATTTGAACGCTGAATGTGGTGGTTTGGTATTTTGAAATCTTTTCCTCACCAGTAAAATTGATGTTACCTTAGTGCTACCAGCTTTGCCTGTTTACTGAATGTAATTACTGTCCTGTATAATAAACCCCACAGCCAATATACAACTGTTAACAATGCCAATATGAATGTGTTTTGGTGGATTGATAATCTGGGAGAAAAAATATCTGCTTTGCCCCAGCACTGGTTACATGTTTTCTCTATAAATAAAGAGTTTCAGTTTCAAGACAGAGAAAAAACCCAAGCAACCTTTCCAATAGCATTAATGGTGCACTCTTAAAACTGCAAAGTTTCAATGACAACAATGTTGCTTTTCAGCTGTTTTGCAAAAACACACTAGCATGTTGGAGTTCCTGGTTGCTATGTTGTTTAATATGCTACGAATGTGATTCATGTATTAATAAAACTACCTCTGAAAACATTAGAAAAACATGTTGCAGGGACTTTAATTAGAATATGATACACATAAAGCAGTGGTATTTTTCTTTCATTCTTCACTATTAGAAAATCTGTTATTTTTTTAATTTAGTAATCAAAGGAATTTTATAAACTGGGCTTAATTGTCATAAAAATAAAAAATTTAGCACATTCTACAGTTACTGCACACATTACTGATTTTAGCACACTTTACTGATTTTGACCATGAGTTTTAAAATTTGAATCAAAACAAAGTTTTGAGAAACTTTTTTTTACTTAAAATTATTACTTTATAGCTTCCATTGGTAAAGATCCCTGACATTTTAGATCTGAATTAATGTATTTCCCTCATAAAATACACAGTTATTTTGCAATAGCAAAGAAAAATTATTACTTTTAAAATAGTGTTGATTTCTTGTTTGATTATGCACCATTATAATTACTGTGTCTGTCCATGTAACATTTGCTATTAGGTCAGTTAATTTCCAGTCTTTCCAGTTTTTGATGCTCAAAACTATCAATTACCTGTGAATATAGTTTAAGGAATACAGCTTACAAGGTTTTCTAGAATTTTCAGAAAAACTTTACCAGGACATTGAAGAAAGGCCTCCATGGAATTCTCTGTTTGCATACAGAGTCCAACCCATGAAAATTGTAGATGTCTGCAGCAGAACTAGTGACTAGATAGGTTTGAATTGCCAGTAGGAAACACCAGATTTGTTCCTTGTAATGGCTGTATGATAATAATATGGCTGTCACTCCATCAGATGGGCATAATGACGTTCTTACTTCATAGCTTTAGGAGTGAGTTTTTTGTTATTTTAGGGTTCCACAATCCTTCTCCCCTCTTTTTTCTTTTTTAACTTCAGTCATTTCCATCAGAAGACCAAGCATAAGAGTGCCACTTAACCTCATTCAGCATGAATAGGTCGTTTTGTATATGCAACAGTCTTTTTGTGCTTGGGTTTGCAATAAATTTATTGGAAACTTGTTGAGTTTATTTAACCAAAAGGGAAAAAAGCTTGTTCCTAAGAAGTCTGAAGAAAAAATCAAATTAATGATAAGTTATTAGTGACTAAGTTCTTAAGTGGAAATGTGAATTTACTAGATAAAGGAAAACAGCAATCGCAACATACAAAGAAACTGAGTAAGAGCAGATTTGTCTTGTGAATCTTTGCAATAGACTTTCTGCTTTATCTTTATGTGTATCAGAGGAATTCTAATACCTATTTAGCCTTCTACTTTTCTGTATGTAAACTCATGAACTGACACATAATAAGAGAGGCAAATCTATCATCTTTTTATCAGTTACTCTTTTGCTGTGAATAATTCAGGATCCCATCCTATAGCTGTCAAAGATTAGGGAAAGAAATTGGAGTGCTGGCTTGATGGAGTAATTATTGAAATTAACAGAAAACTTCTAGCTTACTTTTGTGGCTTTAAACTGTAACTTTGTAGTGATGTGTACTCTTACAGGCTTCTGTTAGCCAGCTCCTCTCGAAAAATAATCAAGAGCTATTTGCTTTGTTTTCCTTGGCTTGGTACATTGTGTGGTTCTAGGTTTATGTTAAATTCTAAAATCTCACAATGAGACATGCAAGTACTTTATGTCTAGAAACCACTGGGCTAAATTTAGTTCGTTTTTAAAGTATCAATTATAAATTTTAATAAACATGTATATTTCTGAATTTCCAAAGTACTCGTTTTTCTCTCCCATTTGTTCAGTTCCCTGGAGCAGTTACTGAAACCTAGACTTCTTTTGAAGTCGCATGTTTAGTACAGGTAGATGAATGTCATATAGAGTTTAGTTCTCTGTGTTTAGGCTCTTAATTACAAACTGAAAATGAGAGTATACAGCAGGGACACCAGTGTACCAAGTGGTACGGGGATCTCTTACAACACAAGGATGTTCTCCAAGACAGAATTCTTGCCAAGAGAGTATGAGAAGAAGATACCTTCCTCTCTGCTGAAGGAGGATCTTGTAACAATCTGGTGGCTTTCAGAGGGAGCGGCTTCTTTTACTAGCTACAGCAATTGCATGCTCTGCAGCCTGGCTGGAGAGTTTTCAGACAGGTTGTTTGGAGAGATGCTAGTTCAGCTGTATGTGATTAAGCTTCAGTAGCTGCACAGTAATGTAGTAGTTTTGTGAAACAGACTAGTTTTAAATTTATTGTACAGAACTCCTACTGGGCTGTTCGAAATTGCCTTATAAATGTTGATTTTCTTTAGTGAAGCAGAGTATGTAGCAAGTCATACATAGGCCTGTTAGCCTTTACTTTTTGGATTTGTAAGCTCCAAGCCATTAGAATCATAGAAAACTGTAGGTTAGAAAGGATCTCTGAAGTGTCTGTGCTCCAATCCTTAGGTTGTCAAAGGCTTTATGTAGTAATAATTTGCCTTTATTTCCGTAAACCTATTTTTTTTGTATTTCTGGTGGGCAACATTAAGTTATTTAGTCTTTAGTGTTATAAACTGGCATATCTTCTACTTAAATATATTTTACTTCTGTTACACTGATGTGTGTCCCACCTCACTAATTATGACATGTCTGAATGATTTTGGAGAGTTTGGTTTTTTTACCCACACATTCTTCACAGGTCATAAAATTAATATTAGGATGTGATTTTCAACAATGTGTATCTTGTCTTTCTCGTAGCTCATATCCAGCTAGAAATTTTTCAAAGATCTATATTGCTTCTCAGTAGAGGAGAGATAGGCATTTAGAAGACAAAGTAATGAAAAATCCCTACTGAGGGAGTAGAATGGGATGGGGGACAATATATTTATAATCCTTGTTGATATATTTATGTACACTAAGTAAAGAAAAAATGCTTTCTCATTTTAGCTTTACCGTAGCTTTAAACATTTTTAAATTATAGAACAGTTGAGAATTCTGATTTTCTTTACGTTACTCTTATGTCTTGAATTGTAAGTAATTTTTTTAGAAGTACCACTTCAGGCTCCTTCTTGCATTTCTGAAATATATGAGACTATTTACACAACCTTTTGTGTAGTGTGACAAAATTATTTATTTGTACTATGTTACTACTAGTGACATCACAAAGTATGCAGCTTTCTTTGCTATTCTCTTCGTATACCTGCATTATAATCATCTGGAACAGTATTGGCTTTAGATACTCTCACATAGATTAATTTCTGAATGGACAAAAACTCTGTTTCATTGGTAGGATCATAAATATCAAAAAAGTGATACTGCGTAGCCCCTCCTCTGTTTACAGAGCAGTTGTGTTTACTGTCTTGTCTGGTTTTAAACCTCAGTAGCTGTAAATTAATGCAATTCAATTTGAATAGTTTCATTTCATGCCTTGTAATCTTTTATCTTTTGCCAAGAGACACAAATACTCTGACTTTAAAATAGCAGCTTTTCTGATTATACTTCTTACATGGGAATGGTACTATGTATTTATTATATTTCTCTAATTACTCTCCCTTCTGCATATTTTTGGAGCACTATATACACTATCCAAGGTCAAAGTACTTTGTTTCAAATTTTCCATTCTTTTTCCTTCTGTGATTCATTGATCCACAGTACAGTTATTGTCTACACCAGAATGGGTGTTAAGCCTCAGTTTGGTAGTTCTACCCTTAACAGATAAACTTACTTGGTTTGTTAGTTAATCTTACAGCCAGCTTGGGAAACTTAATTCTTTTAAATCAATTTTTAATGTATTTTACTGGAAGACCCTAATGTCTGTAAAAATACTTGGCCTGGTCTTAAGCTGATTGGACTACAAGAGGCTTCTGAAGTCTGCACTCCAGGAGGTGTTGGGGGTCTATGCTCTGTAAAAATGTTGAAGTGAACTGTGTAATAAAGATCTCTATTAAGTATACAGAGACTCAAAACTAAAGGCTGTATGGTTGTTTCTGGAGACAGAAAGTGTAAGAGTTCTTCAAGGTTGTTTTTAAGTAGTTGGCATATTCTTTCACTTCTGCAGGATTCCTCCTTTGATGATAGATGCGACGGCTATCTGACTCTGGCAGAATACGTACAAGACTTCCTAAACCACCTCACGGAGCAACCAGCTTGTTTTGAAACGGAAATAGAACAGTTTGCTGAAACACTGAACGGTTGGGTTATTGCAGATGAAGCTTTACAAGAACTTGTTGAACTCATCTACCAGCAGGTAATGTATTACAAGATGGGCATTATGCCTTTGTTACCCAGTGTCCAAGACAGGCATTCCAGTATTTGTTACATAATTGTATCAATGTAGTATTTTAATGATATTTTTCCCTTTAGACTGAAATACATAGGGAAGGATTTTGCTCAGTAAATTGAAATAGTAGCTCATATTTGGGATGCCTGAATTCTACACATTTTTCCAGTTTGCTGTTTCCTTTGTTGTGTGTTTGTATCCTGGGTAATGCACTACAGTTGAAATTATGCTACTTAATTAAAGGAAGTTTTATTTTAATTTTTGTTAGTAAAGATTGAAGAAACTTACACAATATTGTACACTTTCATTTGCTTGTGCAAAAAAAAAAAAAATCTTCATTGTCCTAAGATACTTTTAATTCCTAGGTATTTAAAAATTAAATTCATACCTACTGGACACGGCATCCTTTGGGAAATACCTCTTTAATGCCAGTCTTTTTTCTTTGTTTGAAATATACCTGTTTCAGAACAGCATAATTGGAGAAAAGAAAAGCTTCTCTAAGGGTAGCAAGGTCCAGTCCCATTGATGGCCATGGAAATGAGGACAGAGACCTTGAGCTGAACTCTGCACTAATTGGGGGAGCCATTGGAAAGAACAGCTTAATATGTGTTGCTTAGCAAATGAGCTGCTGTTACTGTCTTTGGGCTCGCTGCAGAAAAGGAAGCCATGCTTCTGGCTTGCTCTTTATTGTGTTGGGTGTCTTTCATAGGTTTGTTGCTTTCAAGTTCTACCTTGAATAAAAGTAAAAAAGCAGACTTTTACTTAAGTGAAGATACCAGCAGAATATTTTAATCTGCTGTATGTAGAAGTGGAATGACTGGTTGGTCATTGTACAGAACTGTAGAGTCTCAGGTTTCTCATTATTATACAGAATTAATGCAAATTTAATTGAGACCAGTTTCGTTAGACATGATGATCACCTGTGCTGCATTTGGCAGCATCATTTTCCCATTCTTTATTTGAACCCATGGAGGATAGTTTATTGGAAGGGAAAAAAGAGGAATTTATGCTATTTATTTTAAATACATTGACTTGCATTTAATAGAAGTCTTTAGTGTTGCCTCTTACTCTCTGTCCCCCTTTAAAAACAAGTTCAGCATAGGGTTTACTGTGGCTTCCTCAACTCAGAAGTTCAATGTTAGTCTGAAAAATTTGCATGAAAAAGTTACATGAAAAATAAAACTTAATGCCAAAAAGTTAGGCTAGTATCCAAAAGCATTAATTTTAGATAACCTGTGTGTCAGGCTAGCATAGTGTCTAAGAAAAGCCAAGTATACTTATTATTCTTCTGTCTTGAGCAGAAGCTCAAGCATTTGTCTCCTGGTTTTTACAAAACAATTAACATTGCTGTAACTTATAAGCATCTGCTTCAGTGATACAAATTTGACCCAACTAAGCAGATTTACAGATGCTAGGTTTATAAAGGAAATATACTGAAATGAAGTAAACCCAAGTTCTGTAGGGTCTTCCCATCATCTCTGTGTAAGGTATCTTAGCCTGTCTCTAAGTAGTAATTATATACTTACATTCTTATTTATGTTTGCAGAAAATGAAGTGCCAGTTCTTTTGTCTTCCAAAATCTGGACACTGAATTCATAGTTTAAGAACCTTTACTGTTGCCTAGTTAATGCAGTGGATTGTTCCTGTTAGAGCAACTACAGTTTCTGAAGATATGCATTGGTAGATTAGCCTTCATGCTTAGATTGTGACTTTTTTGAATTGGAGATAAAGTGACCAGCAATAATTGTTCCAAGAATATGATTTTGCAATGTAATGATTGATTATTAGGAAGATATAGGGTGGTTTTTTGGGTTTTTTTTTTTGTCTGTGTGTGCTATGCCAGATCATAATACCTATTTCAATGTTTGGTGCAACCACAAGTACAGACAACTAATAAGAAAGATAATGTAGATGAGGTTTAAATAATTTGTGTAGGTGTTTGAGTGTTAAAGTTTTTGTTTGCTGGGGGTTTGTTGGGTTGGGGTTTTTTTTGTTAGGAAGAAGTATTAAAAAGGCTCACATTATAAAAAAGACTCACCTTATAAAACAGGGGTACCTCTTTTAGTCAGAGCAACTGATTGAACCACAGCATCAAAGTCTTTTTTTGGTAGTTCACATGCCCCTTGCTGTAAAGTGAATTCCATTTGTCTATCTTAATTACTCAAACTTGTTGTATCTTCCAAAGACACTTAATTTTTTTCCAGCAACTCTATTCTCATAGTATAATTATGTCTTTTTCTCTACCTGTAAGAGGTAGCTAGGTATAATTGCATCAACAAGACTTCTTTTTTTTTCAAACATGTTGGAACATCTCAAACATGCAAGCATATCTGTAGCACTGATAGATGATCAAGATGTAAAAAAGATACTCAAAGATTATAAAGCTAAAGGAGTTTACTGAATTCTTAGTATCCTCATTTTCTTCTGGGCAGAACTGGTGAAGCTATTTGCAGCAGAACCTCTTTTCACTGAAACTGCAGCTGAGAAATAATCTGAAATTCAGGTGTTGTTAGAGGAAGCTTGAAAATGAGTGAACAAAATAAATTTCCACCTCTTTAAAGTTTGAATTATCAGATGAAAACAGAAGATTTTTACACAATATCATTCCTTTCACCTTTCCTTAGATGTCATAGGTATAGATGTTCAGCAGTAACAGGACTTGTTTTAAGATAAAAAGGATACATCAAGAGCTGTTAATTGTAATGGTCTAGTCTTACTCTCTGTTCAGAAGTTTGCAATTTTGCAGATTGCTGGAGCATGTATGGGAGAAAGTATTTCTCTTTACTTGCCATGTTCTTACACTCTTCCCCTGGGTATTAATCATGGCAAAAAGACATTATGTAATAAATAGCTTATAGACTAAAAGAAGATAATTTTTATGATGTTGTTTGAATGTACTCATTGTTCCTTGAGAAAGTATGTGTTCTTGGGAAAGTGTCTTAATATCCAGGGTTGATTTTTTTTTTTTTGTATAAGCAGTATGTAAGTGACTTTGAGACACCCTTCAGTTGTATGCCACAGTGCAGAATTAGAGTTACAGGAAGACAAGTGACATAATGGTGGTTGTTTTCTTAGAGCCACAGAATCACAGTGTAATGAACTTTTAAGTTCTGCTGAAGCACATATATCAACATGCTAAAGCAATACAAAAGTGAACACAGAAAATAGTAATTATTAATCATTAATTTTCTGCTCTTAAGTTGTCTGATCAAATTAAGTAAGCATGGATTTCAAAAAAGCTTTTAAAAATATTTTCTGATAGTGTAATCATTACTACTTTAAATAATTTATTTTTACGTTTTTATTTTGGAAGGCCACATCTGTCCCAAATTTTTCATACATGGGAGCACGGTTGTGTAACTATCTATCTCACCACCTAACCATTAGTCCACAAAGTGGGAACTTTCGACAGTTGCTGCTTCAGAGGTCAGTATCAGTCACTTTAAACCTGTTATTCTCCTCAGTTACAACTTCCTGGTTTGTGTGTTAACTCTTTCTGTTGCATACAAAGAGATAGTTATTTAAAATAGTAGTACAGATTGAGGAGTATCAAAACACAGGTACATGCTGAGTATTGAACACATGCATCTTAAAATATTTTAATATTTTTAAACATAAAATAGGATTCCGTTTGAAGTTCTGTGAGTTCTTTTGAACTGAGTGTATTAGACTGATCCCCAAAATAGTGCAAATTGAAAAGTTAATCTACTTTAAAAGTATACTAAATGCACATATAGGTACTGTCCTTGTCCTTTGACTCTTGCCAATACTTACTTAATTGCAGGTTTTTAATTAGTGCTTTTGGTTTTTGCCTCGAATTGCTGTGTAAGGTTTATTCACTGATGGGCAAACTGACTTCAAATGTATCTATGAAATAGTTGTATAAAATCCTGAAGGATAAATTTCTTCAGTTTCAGTTACTGCAGATTTCTAGGGACCACAGCTTAATGATGATTACACTTTGTAGTTGACAAAAAATGCAACATTTTTAAATTGTTACATATCCTCTCAAGTATTACTGCATGACATTTGAAGGAGTACTGTCTTGGACACTTTTTTTTCTAAATTCTTTAGAAATTTGCCTTTTGTTTTTTGTTTAAAGATGTCTGGCTTTCTAAGCTTCATGTTTGCCTCTTATTTGAAAAGTTTTTACTTAATCCAGCAAAAGTGCGATGAACTTCTACTGTAGTGCATTTCAATGGTCTTTTATCATGAGTGGAATGTTGTGGTTTAACTTGGCAGCTTGCAGCCCCTCACTCACTTCCCCCACCCTCCCAATGAGATAGGCAAGAGACTTGGGGACAGAAAAACTAGTGTTCATGAGTTGAGATATTTTATTAGGACAGAAAAGGATGTGAATATAATAACAGTGATAAAAGAATTAGCATATATAAAACAAGAGACACACCATGCAATTGCTCACCACCCAGGATGCCCAGACAGTTCCTGAGCAGTGGCCTCCAGGCAGCCTTCTCCCTGGTTTATATGCTGGCACATAAAATTAGGGCACATGAGATGGAATATCTCTGTGGTCAGCATGGGGTCAGTTGTGTCTCCCCTCATCTTCACCCCAGCCTCCTCGCTGGTGGGCTGCGGTGAGAAGCAGAAGAGTCCTTGATGTAGTGCAAACACTGTGAAGCAGAAGCTGAAAACACTCATTTTTCTCTCTTTTATTGTTGTTTTTATTTTTTTTTAATTGTTGTTTTTAGTTTGTTTTGTTTTTTCTTTCAAAGTCATTGCTTATGATTTTTTTTTAACTGTGTGTTACTTGAACATGAAAGGAAATCCCTGTTAATGTTGCAATTTCTGGTCCTTGGTTTTGAAGCAAACCCAATGGATAACATTCATGTTAGCATCCTCAAGCTATTAATTAAAAGTTGCTGATGTTTTGCTTGCTAATATGGATGAAATTGTGAGCGGGGAGCATGTGTGCAGATAAACAACCTAATAATGTGACCACGGAGAGGTCGTCTTCTGTTTCTCAACAAAGTTTCTACCTGAAACTTTGTATTTCAACTCTTAAGACTTTTCAGTTTCCCCGCTTTTTCTTTATCCATTACACAATCATTCAGAATACATTAAAATTTGTCTGGGTTTCCTTTTATCTGAAATATTTTTTAATTTTGTTTTTGTACTGTTATGTAAACTTGTGTATTTTTGGCACAGTTTCTAAATACTAGAAAAATTACTTCACTGCCATAATTTTTTAATCCTATTTTTATATTTATATTTAAATTACAGAATCATAGAATTATTTGGGTTGGAAGAGACCTTAAGAATCATCTAGTTCCAAATCCCTCTGCCATGGGCAGGAAACCGCTAGACCAGGTTGCTCAGAGCCCCATACGGCTTTAAACAAAAGGATGGGGCATCCACAGCTTCTCTAGGAACCTGTCTCAATGCCTCACCACACTCACAGTAAAAAATTTCTTCCTAACATCTAGTCTAAACCTGTCCTCTGTCAGTCTGAAGCCATTCCCCTCTGTCCTGTCACTACATGCCCATGTGAAAAGTCCTTCTCCCGCCCTCTTTGGGGCCCCTTTTAGGTACTGGAAGGTGCTACAAGGTGTCACCGATGCCTTCTCTGCTCCCCGCTGAGCACTCCCAGCTCTCTCAGCCTGTACCCGTAGCTGAGACACTAAGGCCCTATGGTCAACTTAGTGGCCTTCTCTGGTCTCACTCAATATGTCTGTGTCCTCCCTGTTCAGAGGAACCCCAAAGCTGAATGCAGTGCTCCAGGTGGGTCTCCGCAGAGCAGAGGGGCAGAATCCCCTCCCTGCCCTGCTGCCCACGGGGCTCTGGATGCAGGATACAATTGGCTTTCTGGGCTTCAAGCATGCACAGTAACACTGATCTTCTCATCGCCCAACACCTGAAGTCCTTCTTGGCAGGACTGTTCTCAACCCCTTCCCTGCTGAAGCTGTTCTTAATGCTTGGCATTGCCCTGACCCGTATGCAGAACCTTACATTTGGCCTCGTTGAACTTCATGAGTTGCACAAGGCCACCTCTCAAGCTGTCAGGGTCCCTCTCCTGTGCCATCCCTTCTCTCTAGAGTGTCACATAACACCGCTCAGCTGGGTGTCATGAATTATGTATTACTGTCACTTAACATGGCAAGATAAAGAATTAATCAAATAAGTGTAAAGACATCTAAGACCATGTGGTAAGCACCCTGAAGAGGGGAACATGTCTACTTCATTTCTTCAGGCATTGGCTGCCTGTTTTACTGTTGCACATCCTGGACCCATATTCAGTTGTAAAAATTGTGTAACTATTAATTTCTACATGTTGTAAGTTGTTCTATTTAATTTTACTGCATTAGATATCTCAGTGCTTAAAGACCGAATAATGTAGTCATATGTATTTCTCTAAAAGGATGCAAATCCACTGTTTCTTCGTGAAGGCCTCTCATTCCCTTCACAGATCATACATCCAAGCATTCAACTTTCATGCAGTTCATAAGTTCTCAGCATTCCTTTAAATGAGTAGTGTGTGACATATGTTGGAATGATTACAGATGGTGTAATTGTGCTTTAATTTTTACAGGTGTCGAACGGAGTATGAAAACAGAGATGAAGCTACCAAAGGGGATGAGACTACTAGAAAACAATTTCATGCCTTTGTGCTGTTCTTAGCTGAACTTTATCTTAACTTAGAGGTAAGAAGAAAGTCACGGGTCACATGGCTCTTCATACATTTTTTCTTGTGCGTAGGTAAACACTGAAGTGGACTATAATTTGGGGTGTTTTTCTAAAGGCAGAGGGCAGTAAAGTAAAAGAACTTTAGAACAGTTTCATTATAATGCTTATGTCCAAGAAACATATGAACAAAAAAGGACAATATCATTAGAAATGTATAAAAATGGAAGTGTAAGAATTTGTAGGAAGAGCCAACCACAAACATCTTTGAAATTAAGCTTTTATTTTCTTTTACTGACAAAACCCCTAGATGGCTATACTTAAACAACATATTAAATGCCTAGCAGAAGCAGATCAGGATCAAAAACATGTTATTCAGTATTCAGGTGCTAATAAGAGGTGTTACCAAACTCTTGAGGCAGATGTGAAAATCCTCAAAATGAGGAGATAAAAATGCAGACTTTTAAAGGTGCTTCTTCTGATGGTTGAGTTATTGGTGCATGCATGAAGTATGCAATCTTGTATTTAGCAACTTCATGCATGTGTGATATGTTCAAAAATGTGTACAATTTTTTTTTTATGCCTGTGCATTCACCAAGTTCACTTCATGCTGTAACGTAATTAAAAATGCACATATGACTTGATTGTTTCAGTGGCTTGATTTAAGCAAACTCTATAAAAATGTTCTGCAGCATAAGGAAGATCCTTCTCTAACTCTTCCATTTCTGGACCTTAAGTGGTCCTTGAAATCTACTTTTCACTTGCTAGAAGAAAACGAAGATTTTCAATGACTTTGGAACAAGGGAAGTTGTCCGTTTGTGGAGTATACCATATTCCTTGGAGTATACTATTTGGTTTTAAACCATTTTCTGTAATTTTTTAATTATATAAAGACTGCTTTCTAGAACTAAGCTACCACTGCTGTAGAGAATAGGTAATGCAGTGTGGAAAAGAGCATGAGGTTCTGGGAATTTGGTATTTTTTGAATCATTTGGCAGGCATTTGGTAGCTTTTCTTAGCAAATTGTTAGCAGAGAAACAAAATTCTAGACTTGCATTATTATGCCAGAATTGCAAGGAGATTACTCAGAGTAAGTTTTCCACTGACACTGAGCTGTGTGGTGCAATCAGTGTGCTGGCAGGAAGGGATGTCACCCAGAGGGACCAAGACAGGCTTGGGAGGTGGGACCATGCAAACAAGGTCAACTGCAAGGTACTCATCAGAGCCAGGCACAAATACAGTCTGGGTGGAGAATCAGGCAGGAGCAGCTCTGCTGAGAAGGGTTTTGGGTGTTGGTGGATGAGGACTTCAACATAACATGCATCAGAAGATGTATGGCCAGCAGATTGAGGTAGGTGATGATCTAGATGATGTTTAATGTCCCTTCCAACCCAAACCGTTCTATGATTCAGTGAAAGTCTGTGCTCTAAAATGGTTACAGTATTTGGCATATAGATGTCAACTGTGTTGATCACAAACCAAATAATACAGCATTCAACAGAGAAAATGTGCCCATATTAATTTCTAAAACTTAAGCATTTTAAATATTGGAGGGGTTTTTATATGTTTTGCAGATTAAAGGAACAAAGGGACAGGTTACACGGGCAGAAATTCTTCAAGAAGGCCTTCGGGAATTACTGAATGCACTCTTCTCTAATCCTGTGGACAGTAATTTGATATGTGCAGTGAAACTGCTGAAGGTGAGACAGTACTATTAAAAGAAAAAAAAATCAAGTTCTTAAAACTGCCTAGCTTTAATATAGGGAATAGTAGGGTAAATTGCAAATGAGGAAGTATTTGTCAGGGTTTATACTTTACAGTATTAGCAGAACAAACTACTGTTTTGTTTTCCTTAGTACCATTAGGAAATTAGGCCAGTAAAAAAAGTAACAAGAAGCTCTAAAAATAAATTCAAGGCCATTTATGTACAGATGAGCAATAGAACTGAAGTTAAGGTGCCAACAAATGCATGGTTCCTCTAGATCTCATTTTGCTGCTTCTGGTGTGGGAGAAAACCGTAACCAGTCTGAATGAATTGTGATATCTTAGGTATACTGTGTGTTCTGGTGGACACTTGGCCATTGGGGTCCACCATGTTTTGTGGCAAAAAGTTCTTAATATCTGTTGCTTCATTCTCTGCTGTGTCATTACTATTGTAGAAATATATAGGTTTCTCTTTCATGTTAAAAATAAACTCCTTTACTCATAACCCATAGCTTTTCTTGTGAAATGGTTAGCGTCTGTGTAAGAGAAACTCTTATCTTCACTAGGTATCATTATACTTGTAGTTGGGAAAACAGTTTAAATTAGGAATGAAGGGTAAATGCTAAATAGTATGTTTCTGAAGATTTTTGGTTGACTTGTATTTTTTCCTCATTCTTTACCCTTCCTCATACTCTACTGCTTCTCAGCCTGTTCTGTCTTGAATTTAATTTCTGACAGCTTCTTTTGATATTGTAAACATAGAGTAAAGAAGAGAGATTTTTGTAATTTAAAACCTTCGTTTGACGTTTGGATGTTTAAGGAGGTTGCTTGACAGCGAGTGTGCGATTGTGCTCAGTGAGCACATTCACTCCTGTGGTCAGTCCTTATGTTGGCAGTGCTTCCCTGAGGCAAGGCCCATTGAAGAACCTTTTAAAGCAGCAATACACAAATCAGGAAGCTTTACGGAGCAGTAAAGAAGAAGAAAACCAGTCATCTAAATTGTTTGATGACACACTGCTATATCTAAAAGGTGTTACAGAACAGAGACTGTTTTTTTCCTGCAAGTGTTTTCTGATGTTGATAAGTGTCCACAAATGTTGAGTATATATGTAGGTAGACTGGGCTGCCTCATGAAACCTTGGCTTCACTACTGAAGCAATAAATGTCTCATTTTATCTTTCCCATTTAATACAGTGATAAAGGTTTTTCTTTGTTTGTTGTGCAATATGTTTATTTTTAACTAATCTTGATGCTATTTCCTAATTACCCAGGATTAAGGTGAGACCACTGTGGAATACTAGGAATGGCAAGCAAATGCTGACCAATATACTTGCTTTTCTCTTGGGATTTTATCCCTTTGTATCATCAAGTGCTATTCCAGGCATTTTTAATCATGTAATATTTATGCTGAGGAGATTGCTGTTAGTGGCAAACTTTTATTTTTCTGATTTAACTTCTCCTGTGCAATTATTGGACAATGAAATACCTATTCTTGTAGTAAAAAGCTTTCATCCACAGCTGCTCTAGACTGACTCCTGCTAAAGGTTTCCTTACAGCAGCCTTAGCCTCATAGACTTTGACATATTAAAGTTCAGGTTGGCTTCTTCAGATAATCCTGGTCTCCTTTATATATACCCAGAAGAAATTCTCTGGCATGTGTGATGCTGGCCAAGTTGACTGAAGTGTTTCTAAAGCTCAATAAAATATTTCCTGTTGTCATATAAACTGGTGGAATCAGCTGCAAAAATAAGATTAAAAGGAAATAAATGATGGTAATATGTACTTAAATCAAGTAAGATCTGACCAATGTCACTGAAGAGTTGTTTTGAAATCATATTTCAAGACTAAAACAAGTGTCTGTGAACTTCTAGGTAACATAAATATTGGACACAGAGCTCCTGCATTGTCTGTAGTTTGAAATAAACTATTTTTGAGGGCTGTTAATCTGTTTAGCAAAGAGATACAGGCAGCTGGGAGTATCAGCCAAGAGGTAGTCCAAGTGTCTGTCATGAATTGTTGCAGAATCTCTTAAATTGACTGTTTATTAAGGATTTTTAATTTTCTTTAAAAAAATACTAAACCGTTTTCTTTAGTTGACAGGTTCCGTTTTAGAAGATGCCTGGAAAGAAAAAGGAAAGAATGATATGGAGGAAATGATTCAGAGAATTGAAAATGTTGTCTTGGATGCAAACTGTAGCAGGTGAGAAGATAAGTTTATGTGCAGTGTTTTGTTTATATGAAAGAGAACACCTTGAAAAATCTTCAACTGTAATGAACAAGTCCAAAAAATTATCTTTGAAACTTATATTTATGAACATTAATGTGATGTGTGTGTAGGTCATTTTCCATGTAAAAAAAAGAAAAGGTGTTTTTCAGTTGAAAGGTAATGTAGCTTTTTTTGCAGTTGAGTTGATTTTGGTTTGGGGTGGGTTTTTTGTATTATAGTTCTTAATACAGATTCAAGTTCCACTGTTCATTTGGGGTTTTTTAACCTATTAGGTCTCAATATCTTTGGTAAGTGCTTTAGGCTCTTAAAGCAAGTATATACAAAGAAAAAATAGGGGCAATATCTTATGGTTTATACTTTCAATTTTGAATTGAACAGCCTTAAATACATACAAACAGTACTGAATATGTAGCAGTATTAAATACATACAAATTACTATAAATGTAAAGGCAAAATTAAATATACTTTGTGATTTGATTTTTCTTTGTTTTTTTTTCTGGAGAGCATACATGTTTGGCAAGGTCTTAGGTTTAGTCTGGAAAAAACCAAGTGGTTGACTAATGTAATATATTAGTGGCTGACTGTAATCATAAAATTGTCATAAAACCACCTGTGTGCATGAGGTTATCTGATTCTGCTGTGCTTCATCCTCAGCTTCTTGCAAACTTACTAAAAACCTGCAGAGGACTCAGACACTGATCTCTTACCATATGGAAAGAGGCCAAGAATGGCTCTTAACATCTGTGGCTTGTAATTGAAGTGCCCCCAAGGAGTATGAGGAAATTTTTGCTTCAGGATCCAAAATAGATTGCACAAGCTGAGGCTTCAAATATATAGAACAACAAACAAATTTTGATGCCTTTTTGCTGGTCCTAAAATCATGAGCCAGACACAGGTGACAAAAAGGGGTTATCTTACAAGGATCCTTAGGTGCTCACAGTAGAAAAGAACTGAAGATGCACACCCAGCATAATATGTTTAGGAAAGTAGCATAACTGACAGGGATCCCCAGGCAGAGACATAAGTGGTGAGGTGATTTTCCTCCAGGGCAACCCTTTTTGAATTCCTCCCCACCTCAGATAGGAACTAAACTTTGTTTATGAAAATGTGTCTGGGACAGCTGGTCTCAACCTTGGCTTCCCAGAGAATCTAACCTTGTACCAGTGGCTTGGCGCTGCTGAGGGATTTCTTCTGTCTTTCTGTCTAATGGAGCAGATAAAATATAGCTGCAAACACTGTAATAGGCTACAGAGCTATACATATACCTGTAAAGAATATAGAGAATATATTAAAAAAAAAAGGCAAAAATCAATTTGGCATCAATTTCAGCTGGGAAAATAACTGATTTTTAATTTTTTTTGTATTCTTTAATGGTACTCTTCTTCATAGACTAGCTTAAAAGAAGGAATTTTCTCTTATTTTAGGGATGAAATGGGTGTTGGTATCTAATGTATGGAGGACATTACTTCTTATTTTTGACTCAAAACATTTCATTTTGATGAAGAAGACTAAAGTTAGAAGCATAGAATAGATAACTAAAATAAAATTTGAAGATCATCTTCCTTTTTTTCCCAGTATTATCCTTTTATCAAAAAGGATTGTGTTCTTCAACTTGTACTGCAAGGTGTGGTATCTCAGTAAAAACTACAGAAATTTCCTTTTTCATATGAGCTCTTTACTTAACAGCCAAGGAAGTGGAGAGAGTGAATATCTCATAACTGGCACAGAAAGCATCTAGACTTGCAGTTGTAAAATTGAATTCAAAATGATCTACACAATGGACCAAATTTTATCCTTCTTGAATTTGTGTTTTTGGATGGATTTAACTATCTTGTATTTGCACAGTAAGAGAAGCCAAATTTCTTGCTTGGCTGGCACAAAACGTTCTAACTGTTGTAGTGCTTCTCTATTTCAGAGATGTGAAACACATGCTTCTGAAACTAGTAGAACTGCGATCTAGTAACTGGGGTAGAGTTCATGGAACAACTCCACATGCAGAAGCTACCCCTGAAAATGACCCAAACTATTTTATGGTAAGAATATATGGACATTTCAGTTCCTTAATTCATGTGAATTTCGTTTGATTCATAGACAATTGCATTACTCAAAACTACAAACCTCTTTCTCTCTGAATACATATAACTTTCTGTATGACTTTATTTTTAGAATGAACCAACATTTTACACTTCTGATGGCGTTCCTTTCACTGCTGCAGACCCAGGTATGGCACAAGTTCACCTTACCTGTCTTCTCCATGTTCTTTAAAAAGTTGTAATTAAGTTTATGGCCTGTTGAAGAACATGAAGTGTTATTCTTCAAGAATCTAAAACCTATGTAACTTAAAAGACAAAATTCTGCCTGAATTCCTGGTTTGGTAGAGCACAGGATTTATTCTGCATTAAAGAAGGTATATGTTTGAAATTGAGAATGTGCATTTGAGTTCATATAGGTCAGAAGAACTTGTCCTGTTGTCCACAGGGCCTTACCTTTCCAGAAAACCAGAAATATTCAAGTCTTCTTTTGTTTGTCCAAAGTTAGTATCAAAATAAAATCAAAATCCTTGGTCTCCTTATCTGTAATCTGAGCACAACAGGGCATAACATCATTTGAGGTAAAGACATCTGTCACAACCTTTACAGTTCTATGAGAAGTTAGCCATCATTCCTAGATACCCATTCATGTCCTGAGAAAACATTGCAGAAGGGTCTTTTCCTGTAAATATGTTTTCTGCCTTTTAGGAATTCATTAACCAGCCAATTTTCAAACATTATATATTTCTGTTAATTTAGCAGAGTAGTCTTATATGTTACTCAGTCTCATTTTTACTTTGCCAGATTATCAAGAAAAATACCAAGAGCTGCTTGAAAGAGAGGATTTGTTTCCATATTATGAAGAAAATGGAGCAGATCTGTCAGGACCTGGAGAGCTGTATGTTTTATTTTTTAGTGACTTTTTTTTTTTAATAATAGTAATTTTTACTGTGGTGCTGTGATAGTTCAGACTTAGGATTCCAATGTTGACAAAAATGAAACTAAATAATGTAATTGTTACTTTGTTACTTAGTTCTACAGTGGATGCATTTGTTCAGGTTTTAATTGGTTTTTAATCACGCAAGTTTGAAACGTGTTTCATGTTTATTCTACTGAGTATGGTAATTACATTTCAGTTGTAACTCATGTGCTTAAGCACATGTGCAAACATACTTCTTCACTTAAGAAGAAAATTGCAAGCAAAATGAAGCACCAAGCCTTCAAGTGTTTGCAGAGAGGCAACCTAAATTTGTTTGACTGATGTGCATGAACATCCCAGTAAGAGATGATTACCGAAATTCCAGTGTCTTTGAAAGGGAGAAAGTGTTAACTTCCTCTCTTCAGCCTAAGCACTATTCCCTTCAATTAAGAGGACTTGTCAGTATTCCTGTAGAGCAAGAAAGACAAACTAATGGGAAAAGGGGAAGCAATAGTTAAGAATGTAGCCTGACATTTTGGTACCAGTTTATAGGAAAGAAATATGGTCTAAAATAAATTGCTTTGAGCTTTTTGTTCATAAAAGAGGACTTTTCAAACCATGATTTGACACACAATAACATTTTCAGGGTTGTTTTTATGTATGATAAGAGTGCAGGGCTGGATTAGTATTTTGTAGTAAATTAGAAAACTTTCAGTATGTACCTAGCTGAGGGGAATGCCAAGAACTTTGGAAGATATATTAGAGACGTCATCAGAAATCAACAAGCTCATACTGAAGGGAAAAAAAGACCCATGTGAACTTCTGCTTAGAAGAAAAATGCAAATTTTACACAGATATCTGTCAAAAAACACAGCAAATCCTAAGAGTGACATGTAGAACACTGTAAGTCAACCTTCAAGCAAGGTGACTGTAACCTTCTTTGTTGAAGGCTTAAGAAAAGCTTAGACAGATGTCTGCTGATTCTCTGTCAGCTATTTCTTATGATGACATCAGGGAGGAGGGTTCTGTGTAAGGCCTCTTTCTTCTGTAGGCTACACTTCTACAAGAAAGAAGGAACAAATGAGAAATATGTAGACTGCTTCCTCAATGAACAACACTTTGAAGCCAAAATCTTTTCTTACACATTTTCTAGGTCCTTCTTTTATATATCAACAAACAGGAATGCAGGGTTTCTATATTAATGTATTCTGTCTTTGAACTAGGATGTTGACCAATCAAAATGACACTAATATGTTAGTAATTATGGGTTTTTGTAATTGGATCAGTGCAGATGCATTATTAAATTTTGGGAAGCGTGGATTGCATGATTGTATTTTCTATCCTCTTTGAAATTCTGTCTTTTAAATTAGGCAGCGTAAGATGATCTAAAAAGGTGGCAAACACTCTAGGTATTTGAACATATCTGTGCTGCTTTGAGGTTTCTGTTTATTTGTTTCCTAGTTACCCATTATTTTTTCCTTTTCATTCTTATGAAAATGTCATAAATACCAGTCATTTATAAAGCTTTGTTTTGTTCTTGACACCTACACAAATTCTAAAAATCTGTTGGCTCTGAAAATCTGTATGTAAATTTAACACCTTTGGTAATTTTTTTTCCCCTCAGGTATTTTGATGAGATTGATGATGAGATGGATCCAGAAATTGAAGAAGCATATGAAAAATTCTGTCTAGAATCAGAACATAACAGAAAACAGTGAGATGTTATGTATTAATGTTAGTTTATTTAACCACTTTAGATATGGTTAGAGTGAAGGGGGACACAAAACATTTGTACCAAAATGAGAAACTTGAGTTTCTCCAAGTACTAAAGTTACACAATTTCCATTTTGTTTAACAGAATCTGCCAAAAAATGTAAACTTATGCCCTGTAACTTAAAATGTTGTGTATATATCATAGTTTATTTTGTGAAAAATGTTTTTTGAACAATGTTTTGGCTGCAATAAAAATTATTTAAAAGTTATAATTGAAATTAAAATTTAATGGGGAACTGTCCCATAAAACTTCCCTTGAGGAAGAAAGGGAAAGAATAATGATCTGAATTTGCTTGCTTGTTTGCTTTAGTATATATTGGGATTTACTCATCCTATTTACCATATACAATATGTCTTGCATTTACTTCCTCCACTTCCCCCTCCAAGAAGAGTATGATCCAAATAAGAAAGAAATTTTTTTTCTGTATATCACAATCATGAAAAGTGGCTTGTGAAAGTTTTGTGTATGAGTTTTTGTTTTGTTCATTTCCTTTTTCTTCTTCTTTCAAAACACACATGGGTGAGGTCTGAACTTTTCTTTTTTCCTGGAATAAATATGTTACATGTTGATATGTGAAAAAGCAAGCAGTATTTTGGAAGTGAGGTGCTTTCAAGATCTTTGGTTCAGATAAGCTTATTTTCAAATTTACAAGAAAAGCTGTTCTGTAATTTGTTGTGTTCTTCAAGGCAATATTAATACAGTTATGCTCTAAGCCATGCTTCTCGAGAGTATGTGCAGTGCTTTTTTTCTTTCGCTTTTTTTTTCTAGTAATGTATCTAACATGTCTAACCTTTCCCAACCCTTGTAACTTTCTTTTATTCTTCTAATTTTATGTAGTTTGATTTAATTCTGTAGTTCGAGTAAATTCATATATTTCATAAATGTTAACATTCTGAAGCCGACTGCTCTTTTTTTGACTCCATATAATCATGTTAGTTTTCCCAGGATACTCCATTGTTGTTGTTGCCAATCTCAGTTGAACTGTTTCCTGTCACCTGTTGCTGGTTAGACTTGAGTAGAAATCATTACCAAAAACAAACACAAGTATTTCCCAGCAGTTAGCTACTCTAAAGAACACACATTGTAAATATGCATGTAAATAATTCTGATAATATTTCACTGTTATTTGTTTGGTTAAATAAGTTGTGCATCTGCTAGTAGAGTAAGCAGTGGCTGTTTTCTGGATGTTTATTTAACATACTTATTTAGGTTGAAGTTTTGGAAAATAAAATTTAACTACCTTTATTTCCTTTGGTATAATATCACTACCTTGTCTTCTTGCTTTAAAACAAAAACGATATTTTATCTTCTATCTCTCCTTCACTGAGCACTCCTTTCTCTTCTTCAAAGTACACAATTGCAGAGACAATTATCTTTTGATTCTTGGTGGAAAAATAAAATGTATCAAAATGCAGTATGCTCATAAAGACTGTATTAGCATTCCAAAGTCTTTAGACTAAAATTCAGAAACTAGAAATGTAAAAACTAGATGACTTTCAAATACATATTCTCTAAGTTGAGCACAATTTTCATATAAAATTTTTAATCTAAATACAGGTCAGGTCAGACTTTCAGCTGGCTTTACAAGCAGATGTCTTGTGGAAATCATTTGTATTCAGAACTTAAAGTTCCAAGGAACAAGCATTCCTATATGCTTTACAGTAAGGTAACAGTGACTCAAAGGGACATGCATTTTACATGTTTTAGTTTTGCATGATTTTTGGTGAGTCGTCTTTTTCTGTCAGGTAGCTGTCAGCTCCAGATGTACTGTCAGCTTGTGGAAACAGTAATTTTATGAGTAGATAATAATCATGCCAAATCATTGGGTAAAAAAAATCAGGAACTAGGAACTGTATATATAGAGAACAACTCAAGTCAAGTTTGCATTACAAGGTTTTTCCTTCACTGAAAATACTAAAAATCATAAAATGAGACTTTCATTCAAACTAGTGCAGAAGTTTCCAGTCTGTACATATAAACTTTGTAAATGCTTTCAGTCTTTACTGCAGCGGGGAAAAAAACTGGTTTTAACTCTGTCCTGCAGCATTAAAAAAGCAGTTAAATACTCAAGTATTTCCCACTTAAATCTCACAGAACTTCAATACAAGCTAGTGAATGTGAGAGCAAAAGAAAACAGCAGGTTTCTCACTGTCGGGATCCCCTTCTCTGCTGCTTGCCCACTCTTAATCACCAATTGTTCTGTGTATGATAGAAATGAGTCATGAGAGGTTTAAAGGCTATTTCACCTGAATTTTAGCATTTACAAATTTCAAATGCACTGTGTGTGTATCATCTACAGGTTTCTGAACAATGCCTTGCAAATGTACAACTTTTTAAAAAGATGTGTTTTCTAAATGGCATAATGGTAAATCAGTGAAGGCACAGAAGCATGGAAAGCAAAATTTGGGGGAGATGTGAAGCAAGGTCCTTCAGCACTGGTTCTGAAAAGAAACAGGGTTCACATTCAGATTTGAGCATGAGACCTAGGCTTTGCAGATCAGTAAAAGCATGCACACTGTTTCTCACTCTTGACAAATTATTATGATTTCGCAAAAATGTTTGGTATTTGAAAATCACACTTAGTTTAAAGGAATTTCAAAATGGGCTGGAAGAATTGCTGCTTTGCATGTGCTTTGCTGTTGTGTGATTTTCATATGCAGAAATGCAGCTTGTTCTCAGTATTTCCTTTTAAAATATGCAAAGAAGTTCTTGATACTGGCCTTTGGCTTTTTTTTCTTTTTTTTTGTTTTTAACAGATGACCTCACTGGGTTTTAACTGTTGGGTTTTAGAATAATTGTACCACAGAGAGAAGCAAGACTGGCCCAACCACATCAGGTATCACAGGTATCATAAACTGCACATAGCTAGGTTGGTTTTTTTCAATAGAAAAATCCATTGTGAATATTAGTGACACCCGGTCTGGTTTATACTAATAATCTTTATTTTTCACTGGGACATTATTTCCTTATTGCATTCTGCCTTTCCTTCCTACTACTCACAACTCATTGAATTACTGACAGCTGAAGTTTGCAATTTCTCTCTGACTGAATTATAGTTCTAATCATCCAGTGGATGCCTGTGGATCATTAGTTGATACCAAACAGAAAATGACATCCCAGCCAAAACGCAGGGAAGATACTACACTGTACCCTGAACACCTCTAGTCTTCAACCTGTGTGACCAACTTCCACAGTTCCTATGCTGAGGGCTCCAACCAAAGCAGTGAGATTGTGAGCAAAATGCAATGTATCATCCATAAATAATATTCATAACTCATTCATAATCCCAATATATACTTTGAAACTTGCTTCAGACAACTACTGAACAGAATAATACTCATTAAAAAGGGGTATTCTGAATAGAATCAGGTTATTTTGATGCATGGCTGAATCAGCAGCCACTTGACTGGGTGTTGATCTACTCTGCTGTGACAACAGCTGTTGAGAATGGAAAGTTGTACTGAATGCAGTCAGTCGATGATTGCACTGATCTGAGAAACAGGTACTTCCCTAAGCAAGCAAGGGAGCTAACAGAAACCATATGGACTAGTGGGGATAATCAACTGCATTTGCTAAGGGCTGGGAGTGGGGGTTGATAATAATTGTCACTCAGCTGTGAACTGTCGATCTGCTTAAAACAGCTTTGATTAAACGCTTATTGGTGAGGGTGAAGGGTGTATATAATAGTCCAGAAAAAGGCAACTAGGCATCATGTTAAAATTGTCCTTTGGCATCTTGGTCTTTCTGTTCAGATAGGGCTTCTACTGCCCAGTCCTAGGTACAGAGCTGTGGGTTGGCTCACCACCGCCCCCCCGCCCCCCACCCCGTTTTCAGCAAATAAAAATTTATTTTAAAATGTATTAAGAAAAGAAAAGAAAGTACAAGGACACCGTGTGCGGTTCCACCAAGGCTGATGGTGCTTACTTTACAGATGAGTGTATGGGATGTGCTCATCTTGCCTGAGGGAGCAGGAAGGCACAGCTACCTCACCGACGTGCCGCGCAGGGAAGCAGCTCAGCAGGACATCGAGGGGAGCTCGGGCGGCGCTCGGCCCGGCTGCGGGCGGAGCTCGACGAGAGCTCGGCCCGAGTTGGGGCGGTCGCCCCGCCCCGCCCCGCCCCGCGGTTCCCGCCGTGCGGCGGCGCGGTCGCTCCAGCCGCCTTGGATTGAACGCTGCCCGCGGTTCTGGCTCGGCCTCCTGTGTGATGGAGGCCGAAAGGCTGATGGTGCTGTTCGGAGACGACTCGGTGGAGGTGCACTACGCGGGGGGATCCCGCTTGCTGCTGTCACCTTGCGGGTCCGAGTATCTGTACGAAGCGGCGCTCCCCGCGGCCGCCCACCCGCTCCAGCCGGCGGAGACCACCCGCCAGCGGGTCGCCTTTGTCGTCAGTGCCTACCGGGTACGCGGTGGGCAGTGCCTTTGGGGACGGGAGCGCTGTCCCTCGTCTCTGCGCCATCCCTGAGAGCATCCCTTGGGCAGTGCCAGAGTTGCCTCCCTGCTCGGGAACGGGACTGCAGTTCTTGTTTCTCTCTGTAAAAAAACAGCAGGTTTCACAGCCTCACCTCCACAAAAAGTAGATTTTATCACTGCATCTAAAAAGTCGTAATAGGGTTTGTTTTTCTCTGTACTTCAACAGGAACAACGGGTTTCATAGCCTCACCTCCACAAAAAGTAGATTTATCGCTGCATGTAAAAAGTCGTAATAGGGTTTGTTTTTCTCTGTACTTCAACAGGAACAACTTCTGCGAGCGCTAGATTTCCGGAACGCGTTTTCTTCTCGCCCGTACTTGCCTTCACGTATTATACCTCCAGAAAGAAAAAAGGTGGGATTACACATTAGGCGAGTAATTCTTTCGTAAAAAAGCATCTCTAGCGGATTTAATGTAACTTAACATACCTGTGTGTGAGGCTGTGAAGATCTATCGAGTGCAGTTTGGCTAATGGAGCTGTCATCTTTCTTAAATTACTGACGTTTTAAATTACAGTTTTAACTGTTACAGTTTTAACTGTTAATGCATTTTCTTTGTAGAAAGAAACACTAAAAGTTATTTTATTCTTAGCGAGAGTAAAACCTAGCGTTTGTGTGTTGTTATATTTTGGCAGTAGAAACTTTTCAGGGAGGTCACAGTGCAACAGGGTGGTATTTTCCAAAGCTGTCAGATCTCCCCATTGGAGTACCGCTGTGAAAATGCTGCTGGGGTCTGTGGGAGGAATGGAGCAAAGTGTCTCTTTGTGGGAATGGCTGCTCCAGGTCAGAACATCCGTGCAGAGACCAGTTTAGTATTTCTGGAAGTTTTGTTCCAGATCAGCACCTCTCTGGGTGTTCCCACTGAATATGACTGTCTGCACAGCATGGTGGGAATCTTAAGACAACTGATTAATCAGGCGAGTTTTAAAGCTTTAGACTGACCCTTCGGTAGTAACACCCTTCATGCTGATGTTTAGCTGCCTAAAGCACTGTCACTCCATGTTACTATATACTTAATTAAAAGTCACCAGTCCTCACCAGTCATGCATTCAGTGCAAAGTACAGCAGTAAAGAGCTGATGCTCTGTTCTTAGCACGGAGGGGTAAGTACCACCTTCTCTGAGCCTTGAACGATCTAGCTCCTTTGGAGATTGGCTGGGTTTCTAGACTGTTTTTAACTTACAGCATCCCTTGTGACTTGCTTCAGGATGCTGAAGGATAACTTTCCTAGGCCACACCAAAGCACCTTACCATGTTGGTTGGCTTTTCCCCCACACCCCTTTTCTGTTGCTTTGGTTTCTTCCCCCTCACTTTGAGAAAAACTTCTGCTTTTCTTAAAGCCAAAATACTCTTTTTAGAAATCCTGAGGTTGTCCTTGTCCAACAGTTTACTGTCACTTTATTGTTCTGTGGCCTGTTATCAAACAGTGCCCATGTTTTCAAGGCCCTTGCTGTTTCCCACACTCCAGTGGTCCACCGTAATAAAGTAAGAGTTAGTAAGCTTCAGCTTTCATAACAAATTGTTAATGAGCCTGACAGGCCAGCCTGGGGTCTAGCAGGGTTTACCTAAGGCCTGAGGCTTGTTACTACCATGACAATACCTTCACAGGCACAAAAACACTTAGACTGTGTTATTTGCGTTATGCTTGAGTTCAGAACAGCCCTGTGATGTGCTTAGGCTCTCACTTGGCCACTCCAACCACCCACTTGTCTAGACAGCTCCATGAGGGGGATCCCCAGTGGCCTGGCCTGTTCAGAACTGCAGCTAGTATTCAAAATGCAGCTTAGCTGTGAGTATGGTATCGCTATATGTTCAGTTTGTTCTTGTTCCATTCCTAGAACTTTCAAACATTTCATACTGATTAAATTGCTGGTGAGCATTGAGCATGTTTTCATGCCACTGAGAATTACAACACCAGGATTCTGGTTGGTGGCAGTCAGCTCATCCTCCTATACAGAAATACATGTAATTGTATATAGTTAGGATTGCCTTTTCCCATTGAAATCACATTACGTTTATTTCAACTGAAGTTTTACCTTCAGCCTTGTTGTCTGGTATTGATTATTTTTTAGTGTCCTTTTGCAATTCTTTATCAAATCCACTGATAAGTGCTATGAACATGATAATTTGGCCATTCTCTCCCTTGTTTCTGAAGAAGCCGTTGGAAGCACAAACATGTACAGTTGTGCTTGGTCAGTTGCTCATGTACCCTACTAATTTATGGCTTGATTAAATTAAAACATTATTGCTAGATAGAACTCTGTTACTACAGGAAGAAGCAGATATGAAGATTAGATGTTTTGCTTCCTCTGAGTTCATACACGCAGGTAAATGTAGAGCAACATTTCTTGCCGTACATCACCTTGCAGAAGGACTGAATTAATTTAAATGTAAATGTTCAGTTGCAGTTTTTGAGAGGCAGGTCTTTTTTATCTTGCTGCACATTCCAATCCTTTTTCTTGTATTAGATTCTTCTCAGTGATATCTTAGAAATTAAATGGCCTGACCCTGTGACAGCTGATCTGACAAGATGCTTAGACAATGGCAGTGTGAAGATCTCATCTGTAGATGGCTATGCTCACCTTTACTTGTCAGAATTGCAGCAAGAATTTACAGTGGAGTTCTTATGCAAAGTCAGCCAGTCATCTGCAGCATCCTCATGCTCCTCTGAAAAGAACAGCAACTATCAAAGTGGAGATCAGTGTGGAACACCAAGTAAAAATTCTGCTGCAGAAGTCTCATCAAAACAAAGAAGAATAGAGAATAGGAGTAAATGTGGTTGTGCTGAAGGTAGATATAGGGAACCAGCCAAACCAAAGGACCAGAGAAATGGAGATGGAGTCCCTTTGTTCCACACAAATTGTTCTTCTGAATATGCTTGGGTTACACAGCGTTGGACTGTTTCCTTGTGCCCAGAAGAATGGAAATACCCTTTGTCCTTGGCACTAAAATGCTGTAACTTACATACTGTGGAAAATGTAATAAAGACATATGAGACAAACAGCTGTACAGCTGTTGAAGGTGACGTTTTAGCAGCCCCTGAAACACATGAAACAGTTTCTTGTTTACCTACAGCTTTGCCATTCAGCTGCAGAGCCCCACATCTACACAGGTAACTTAAACTCTTTACTTTGTAGTTGTTATCATATGCTTTACAATTCTGCAGTTTGGAACTTCAACTCCTAGCAAAATAATTGAATCCTGGCTATAAAAAACGTTTAACATTACTATCACTTGTGGTTTTTTTAGGAATTTCTTGAAACATGACATTTTAAAACCAACACTCTGTAACTTACTGTAATGAAGCTGTAGTGATTAGTTCAGATTAAAAAAATATTTTCTGACTTGCTTTATGAATATGTAAACAAAAAAAAGAATATTGAAAAAAAGAACAGGCTTTGTATTAGGGTGGGTTGGTTTTTCTTCTTCATCTTTGAAAAGACAGTATTTCTGAGGTGGGCCAGTGGCATATGTTGTCTGTCAGCATCACTAAAAACAATTTAAAAAAAACATTTGCAGGATTGGGAAGTTTAGTTTGGTAACTAAAGTGGATCACTAAGGAATTGGAGGACTCTGAAAATATGTGTCCATTTAGCATTTGAACAAGTATGCATGCATCAGTTCTAGTTACAGAAGTGATTACAAGTGAAAACACACACGTAAAAGAACAACCAATATATGGACTTAGTGAGGCTGTCGTTGTATTTTATGCACACAGGTGGACATTCTGTGACTTCTTTCAGAATGAAGATACGGAGTATTCATTCCATCAGCTAATTCAAGTAGTATGGTGCCAGGGTGTGTTCTACAGGTAAGTAGGAGATCATCTGTGTTATCTGGAAGACTTTATTTGCATGGGAATTAAGCTCTAAGATCAAATGTCTTATGTTGTCCCTTTACTCGCTCTTTGAGAAATGGAGCACAGTCTTCATGTCAGAGTCTGTTTCTGCTGTTTGTTCACTGGACTTCATATTTTCTAGCACAGTTTATTATCAGGCCTGAATCTGAAGTCATGTTTAAGTGATCTGATAATCTGATTTCTTAAAGGTTTACTGGACAGCTGGAGTTCCCACAGATGTCACTTAAAATAATGGTACTTGGTTTCTTTGCAAATTAGTTCTCTCCTCTTGCTGCTGAAGATTTCACAGTTTAGAAATGTTCATCTTGGTGACATACATAATTCACATGTACAGTTGTGGATTTTCCTGGCAAGTCACCTTGTCCATAAGGTTAAAAAAAAAACAAAAACAGGAAAAAACCAACCAACAATAAGACTTTCAAACTGAAATTGCTACAACTGGTATTAACACTTGCAAGACCTAAAAGTCTTTGATAAAAGCATCACTGGTGTTTAACCCTTTAATCTTTCTGCTGAGTGTTCTTCATTTTTCCTCAGTGTAATTCCTAAGTTTTCATCTCATCTAAACAAAATGTTTAGCAGCACTTCAGAGTTTTTTCAGAGCTTTTTTTCTCAATTAAGACCTTCAGATTGTTCAGGAATTGTTCAGTGTGGCAGTTTTCTGTGTACACTAGGTGTGGCTGGTCTACTAAGGAAGTTAGATTTTTGTTTACAGGATCACTATGTTTTGTGGTCAGTGGAATGAGCAGCTCTTGAAGGTGTTTACCTTGACACAAAAAAAGCTTTCTTTGCTTATTTAAATCCCACTCCATGCACATGTGCAAACAAAGAGCCTAGTAATGTTAATATTCTGTGTTAAAAGACATTATTGCTACATTCTACTGTTTGTGGAACAGTAGAAGTTTTTCACATCTGAGTTACTGAAAATGTGTCTATAAATGTTTATTGTTTTCTTCAGGTTTAATAACCTGTTCATAACCTTGTCTAGTGACAGAGCATTTTAAGTACTTGCTAAAAATCTTATTATTTTTCTTAGATTTATCCATGGTAGGACAAACATTGCAGAAATTTATCCTGGTGATGACTCGTTTTTCAAGTCAGAGGGAGAATTTTTGGGAAAATATTTTGTACGTTATGCAATCCAAAAAGGAACAAAAAAGGTACGAAACTATTTAAAAATTAGAACTGTTTAAAAGGATGTTCCAAATTCCTTCGAATTAGCAGCTTCCTTAAGACATTTGTCTATGCAGTGTGTAGTGAAGTCCCTACACTGGTAATTACTATAATGCCTTAATCAAGCCATCAGTCATACAAAAAGATGAGATTATTCCTTCTGTTTCAGAAGGTATTTTTGTAAATTTTACACAATAAGAAGATTCTTCCTCATTGTAACATTTATTTTATCAAACTCAAGAGTAAGATTCTACAGCAACTTCTCACAAATTTAGAAGTTTATTCTTGAAGCTCTATTGATTAGAGTTTAATCTCTTTGTATTTGGAAGTGTTTTCTATTGTATGAAGACAGAACCTAGAAGGTGCAGGTTTTGTTCTTGCTTTGCTGCAGACCAGCTGTTCGGTGCTGGAAAAGGATTTTGCCTCTGTACCTGTCTGTTAAGTTCCCCCAAAGAGATCCTCTCAAGTGCTAATGCAATATCTTGTATTTTTAAAGCAGAATTAAGGATCAAATTTGTACTCTTGGAACCCAGCCTTTAAGTTGTAGTCAGACATTGCCACTCAGTAATGACCTATAGTCTGCTGTCTGACAAGAGGAGTTCCTGGGTCTTACTGAGTAAAGAAACTGAATATTTGACTACTTCTTCACACAGACGTAGGCTTAAGAATATAATTTTCAATCAGATATTTGTCTGTGTTCCGTGGCTTATTTAAATGTGATTATAGTTGGCTTGTGGGAGGTTAGAAATTTCATAACTTGCTCTTAATTTTGTTTTCATGCTACGGTACCTGTAACTAACTCATCTTCTTTCTGCTCTTTACTCAGGTGGAAGAAAAGATGTATTCAGCGAACAGCTTACCTCCAGATGTGCCAGGACATCCATACTCAATATCCTCCATTATTACTCAGGCAACCAAGTAACTTAACTTTTGTTACATTAATTCTGCTGACTTAGAAAGGACAGGAGTTAAAATTATACAAAAAGCTTATTATTACTTTTAGTATAAAAATTAAAGGAAGTTATCTTGGCACTGAGGGCATATCTAAACTTACAAAATAAAATTTGCAAGTCCTTAGAAGACATAGTAGGAATTAAATGCTTCATATTTTGTTTGGGTTTTTTTCTCTCCTCAGAATTCTTCAGTATTGCTGCAAAACAAAACTGTCATTAAGTCATAATTATTATCTCTGCTGCTGGAAAATGGTATGTAGCTGAAAATTTATAAATCTTGCAGTGTTATGATTATACAGATCATACATAGGGAATAGGATTTAATCTAGAGGGTAGAATGGTGAGTGTATCCTCATAGATCAGAAGGCAGATATTTGGGACCCAAAAGCATGCAATTAGAAGTTGTATTTAAGAAAAAATTGCATGACTAAGGGAGCTGGTTGTGATCTGGAAAAACAAGTTAATTAAAAATCTGAAACATATACAGACTGTTGGAATGATGTAAATAGCCTTTCTTCAAGTTTTTAATGTATTTGTTTGGTTCTAGGTATCTGAGACTGATGGACGAGAAATGTTGCCAGTTTTGCTGCATGAAAGGGTTATTCCCAGCACAGGAAGACTGGTTGTGTACTCAGATCATAAAGTCCATGCTGTTTTTTGGGATAGGATGACCCTGACTATGGTTTGGGATTTCAACTCTTCCTGTAGTGAGATCCAGGTAACATGTGACTTAGAGGAAGCTAAGTCCTAAAGCTTTCCATGAAAAAGTGTTATTAGGAAATTAATGAGAATAGCAAACAAAAGTTCTGATGCCAATAAAATACAAAAACAAAAAAGAATTGAGAATTCTGCAGGTTTGAAGACATTTTTACACTTCTAGAAATAATTTATTCTTGAATAGCACAAAGCAAGATTTGGGACTTTGCCAGGTGTTTTTCCCCTGCATTTGTCATAGTAGACTATAGCAGATTCTATTCCTAGCAAACCACAGACTTGCAGGTTTTTCAAGTGGATTGTTTAAAGATGTTTCATTCTTAAAGTGGTATATTATACCTGCTTTTTTTTTTTTCCCTTTGGACTACAGCAGAAAATTAATATTTGGGTGGTTTTTGTTTTTTTTTTCCTTCTCTAAGATAAATGAAGGTGTAGGCTGGTGTAAGTTAACTACTCCTGATGGGCTGCAGCAGCTAATACAAATAAGTCATCCTGGAGTCTATGAAAGGTAATTTAAATTGGTTGTTCAATTTAAACAATTTAAATATAAAAATTATTCTTTATAAATCCTCTTAGATGAAGAAACAGTATTTATTAACAGTAAGCTGGTAGGGATGGACCAAACACGTAATGATAAGAGCTCCATTTTGCTTCTGGCAAAGATTCAAGACCTGTGTGACTCAGGGCCTCTGCATGCTGTGATTCCATTATAACTGTTATGGCAATGTCTTTTTAGAAAAATAACTAGAGCTGCAACTTGGCATTTAATTCAGTAAATTAAAAAAAATAAACCCAAAAGCATTTGTCCTATATAGAGCTGATATATAGAACTGAACAGCACTTTATCCAATTTTTGCTTTATTACAGATATTGACCTCCGCCTGCAGAATATTTTCTAATCTGCTTGCTGTAATTACAGCCTCATTATGAGAATAACCAGAAGTTTTCTGTGCTGCATTTCAGCAAGCAGATATTCACAAACAAAAATTTACACTTGTACACTGTTCATTGCAAAACATACAGCTTTGTTATAATTTACTATAACTGTATAGATCTAAATATAGAGAAGATTCTGGACAAAAAATGGCAAGGCAAGTAGGAGAAAAAGCTAGATTTTGAATCATAGCTTTTTCTTTCAGATCCAGGTGTATTCCTTAGTGTCTTCAGTTTTTCTCTTGAAAATGGAGTTTATTTCTCATACAAATAACTGCTTTTTTCAATTTTCTTATTAACACAGGTACATCAGAACAGCAATAGAATGGTGCAGAAGTTTGAATGAAAGGAAGGAGATTGCTGAATATACTGCACACTCTGTAACTGAAGAAAATTGGTATTTATCTTTATCCCAAATAATTGACTATAAATAATGTTGAAAACAAAGCTCAAAAATATTATAATCTGAATTTTATATCTTCCATTTCCTAATGGTCAAAAATGAAAATTTATTTTAAAAGTCCATTTATTTTGTATATGGGTTCATATTTTTTATTCAGTGTTTAAAACGTTTGGTGAGTTTCAGGTGAAGGTTGTTTCATTGAGCTTTATCTGTCTTAAAAATCAGAATTGTGGTGATTTTGTCCAAGGAAAGTTAATGTTACAAAGATAGTGTCTTGCAGTGAGAAGGTATCAGACCAAGAAAGATGGTTTTTAACAGAACATCAAGCATCTAAAACAGTACTTTGAACTGCCTAATGACAGTTGTATTTCTTGCTGATGTATTTGTCCTTTTTAGTATGTGCTACTGACAGTAATCTATTGACATAATCTCTAAACATCTTGGGATATTAAAAATGTGCTATTTATTAATATTAATTGAAATATTAATTATATTATTATTATTAAATATTGTTATTGTATTAATTGAAATCAATTGCAGTTGCATTTGCTACTTACTGACCAAAAATCTACTGACATCATCTGCAAACATTAGGATATTAAAAATGTGCTAATTAAAATCAATTGCAGTTGCACTTGCAACTTAAATTATAGCAGATTCAGCATCAGCTATATTACATTTATAGCATGCTATAGCTGATGGAATGAAAATTCTATCTATATTTGTACATACTTACAGCAAAGAGACTATTCTTAGAACAGAGACCAAATTTTTGGAAACACGAATCATTGACAAATAACAGCCATTGAATACTGGTCTCAAAGACACTGATTTCAGTAATCTAATTCTTAGTATTGGAATCTATTAAAAAATAAAATCTGAAGTAGAAAATATCCTTGAGAAATAACCTTTATTTTTTTTTGACAGGTCTGCTGATGCTGAGCTTGAAAAAATACAGAGATTTAATTGTATCCTTTTAAAAGCTGCAAAGATGTTTTTTTCTTTTATATTCTGCTGTTTATCTGCATGTTTAAATCTGCACTTTAGATCATCAAAGACACTCTGTCTTTATCTTCTTTTGCTGTCTCATTTCTTAAAACAACCTCATTTTCGTACTTATCTTTTTTGTTTTACCACTTATTTTGTGGTAAAGATTAAAAAAAAAAGTTGAAGTACAAAACTAAAATGAAAAGTCACCAGAAAACAAAGCCCTTTAATGTGTATTGCATCAGTTTTGTTGAGAATCATCTGCTGATCTGTTCTTGAAAGAGGAGCAACACAGTTGCCTTTGGGCTTGTTGCAGTACAGTATCTTTCTGTTTATCAGCTACCTTAGTATTGTTCTGTTGTGTTCAGCCAGCTGGAAATGTGCACTGTGCTGAATCTGCTTAAAGCCACTCTAAAACTGTCTTTAAGCCAGTGTTCAATTCTATAAGTGTGAAAAGTGCATGAAGTTAAACTGAAGTGTAACACCCTTTTTCCAAGTAACTTTTGGATAAATTAAAATCTAAAAGACATTTTTCTGTAAATGTTGTAGATGTTTTAAGTAATACAGTCTTTTTCTTTTTTTACCTGTATGTAAAATTACCATGCTACCAAATGTGAAATTTTGCAAGGCAGAATGATGAATACAAATGCAGAGATCTTTTTTCTCTTTAGAAGGAAGAGTCAGAAATTTTTTTCTTAACAAAGTAACACTAGTTTTATTAGACAATAGCAACATTCTGAAAAGGTCATCTGCCACAAAATCCAATCCATCTGGTATCACTGTCAGAAAAGAATACGGGGGTGAGACAGAAGAACTCAGTGAAGGTTGCGTCTTGGAGGCTTTGGAAAAAACTTCTAAAGTCATTCAGGATATTGAATCTCTGCTTGCTGCTTCTGGGAGGTGAAGAAGCCCTGTGTTCCATGTCCTCACAGGAGCTGTCCCAGCTGTGTCTCAGGAGGCTCTGCAGGGAGAGAGGAATGAAGGCTGAAGCCAGGGGGACAGGTTGCTGCTATATTCCCACTGAAGTCTGTCAGGTGCCAGTGTAATATCAGTAATAACGCCACTGCTATATTTGGTAGAGGCAAAGAGAACAGTTGAGATAATGGAGCACTGCTGTATAAATAGATCAGGCCTGACCTGACAGTGCTGCTTTTAATGCTTGAATGTATGTTCAAATCAACTTGTTTGATAAATCGCTGCTGAAATGACCAGGGTAGACACAGGAAGTTTTCTCTGTAAAGACATGCTTTTATTCAGATGCCTACACCAAGAAGTCTTAATACCTAATAAAATGTTTCCCAAATGCTTTCTTCAGTGCTCTCTTTGAGTATTACTTTGAGAACAGTAAGTATTAATTTGCTCTGTGGTCTGTCACAGGCGCAGCATGTCCTTAATGACAAAACACTAAACTCTGATCATCGATTTCCCTCTCGGCACTTAAAGGAGGCAAAGCGCGAACACCCAAACCCTCCATTTAATAATCCAGGAAACACTTCTCCCTCACAGCCGAGCCCCGCTGCCCGCGCCGGGCGGGGATGGGAGGAGACGAGGCGGGCGCGGGTCCCAGCCTGCTCCGCGGCCACGCACGCTTCCTGGCCGGCTCCCTGGAGCCCTTCCCAGCCCGCTGCCGCCGGGCTCCGCAGCCCGCTCGGGCCGGGATCGCGGGGCCGAGCCCATGGGGTGAAGGGCGGATGGCGGCGGCCGCGCTCCAGGTGGGCTCCGGGCCGGGCGGGGCGGCGGCGGCGCCGAGGCCCGCGCCTCCCCTCACGCTCCTGCTGCTCTCGGGTTTCCAGGTTGATTTCCTGCTCGGTTTGATTTAGTTTGTTCTTCAGCGTCTTGGTAAAATCCTCCCGCTTCCTTCTGGGCTTTTGCCCTCTCCAACCCCAAAAATGCGGTATAATTATATCTGACCCAAAAATATTTGCTAGATCACCGCAATGATGCATTGTAATTATCTGGCCCAAAAATATTTGCATGATCACTCCAATAATGTGTTATTATCTGACCCAAAAATACTGCCACTGTCAGTTCTTCACAGATGGTTTTAGGCTAGGATCTCCTTTTCCACGAGATTGTATGCTAAAGGTTTGAGCTGGTGTCTTAATTCTGCTTAATGCAGTTTTTAATATAAATTAATACCCAATATCAAATAACGAGAGGTTTAGGAGATTATAGAATTGTAAGGGATTTTAGCTTCTTGTGTAGAATGCATAATTCTGTTAGTTGGCAGGGTGTTGTTTGGTTGTAGGTTGGAATTGATGATCTCAGATGTCTTCCCCAACCTAATTGATTCTGTGATTCTGTAACTTCATGCATTAAATTCCTGTATGTATTTGTGTATCAGTGCAAAACTGGGGCAAAAATTATGCAGACCAATATTTCTAAGTGGTAATTTTAGCCACTTGATTTTTGTTTTGCTCATACACCATAGCCTCTTAGCTGTTTTCCAAAAAGTGTATTTACAGTTTTGATCTAAATATCTTCTTGTGACAGTAACTTAAAGTGTTAACTGTGTGTTCATAAAAATTATTTTGGTAATTTCCTTAAATTAAGGTATAGCTACAAAATTCCATTTTGAGACTGTAGACAGAGATTATGCTCAGCGCTTTATCTCATGTGAAAATGTGGTGAGAAACCACAACTCTAGGCTGGGCTATTCTATCAGCTGTTATGTTTTATATAAAACCAACCTAGAACTTCCTTTCAGGATATTAATTGTACTGACCACACAGATGTCTATAAGCATTTTTTTGTGAATTATTCCTCACTTTTCTATTTTAGCAAGAATGTAAGCTACACAACTGTTTTCTGAGATTTATAGGCTGGAAAAATGTACGCTTTATTGTGATATTTTGTAGAGATCCTGAAAAGCATCATTTTTCAGGGAGAAAAAAGAGTTCTAGTTTTATATTAAAATTTATAATTATTTTGGTTGACCAGAGTTTTGCTTTTTCTGGTCTGATTTCTCTCTTGATCTGAAAAATAATTCTGGGATATTCTGTTGTACCTGGGAATGTCAGTTGATTTTTACGTAGGCAGCTCTCATTTTTGTCTCAAAAGGAGACTGAAACAGACGGTTTAAAAAGAGCAGTTGGACATGGCTCTTGCCTATGGTCAACCTGAAGCCACTTTTGCATCCTGTTCTTCATTCTGGCTCGAGGAACAGGTGCTAATACCAGCCATAGCACAAGTGTAAGCCTAACACTGAACTGACACAGACTTCTGTTGCTCAATGAATTTCTGGACCTCTCTTTATCTCTTCCAAGGTCACTAAGTGATGGGATGGAATTTAAAAAGAGATCCCTGAATGGAACTCATAAATGTTTCATTAGGTGGGAATCTTCCAGGCACAAGAAGAAATCTGTGAAAATGAATTGCTCTATCCGTTGAAATGCAGTTATGTAGAAGACTGGAGCAGTTGTTTTTGGACTTTGTGTTTGATTATTTTTTAATTAATAGTGTGTTCCATTTTTACTTCTGCTCTTCTCTTGGTTTAAGGGTTTTTTTCTGCTTTCTTTTACAGAGCTTCAAAGCTTAGCTGAGTTTACTTTTACCTCAATTATATTTGTGTACAAATTAATTAAATATATGTTTATTTTTTCTGGATATTTTACTGTTGTTCATATTTCATGTATGCTGTTTTGCCTGATATCAGTGCTTATTGGTGACTGGTTTGTTTCTATTTAGGATGGAACAAGTGGTGTTTGGTATTTCCTGCACTGGACTGGGCAGACTGGGTTCAGAAAGCACAGAGGATTAGCACTGAGGCATAGACCATAGACATTTCCTACCGGAGAAAGGCACCTGTGATGGCAAAAAAAATGTTCTCCTAGTCCCAGGGGCAGTTTGATTCTGATTACTGGTGTGGTTTTTAAAGGTATGTTGCTACATCACCTCTTGACAGATTGGATTCTTACACAGCCTTTATGGTAATTTTAAATTAAATCCAATCTGACATGATGGCCATATAGAAGAAGCATTTGTGAAGAGACTGCCATTTTTTTTTCCTTAACATGGAATTTATTCAGCAATGTCCTGTGTAGCACAAGGTCACCCACTAGAAAACAGCATTTCCATTGTTTCAGGAAATACTTTGTGTCTACACATTCATTCAGAAGAGGCACAGTCATGGTTAACAGACTAAACTTGACCCACTTCTTTATCTCTGTGCTAAGTCTATGTATTATTCATGCTTTCTTCTCTTTTGCTTTTTTTAATGTTTTCTAAATAAATGATTCAGTGGGCTTTTTCTTTTCCTGCAGAGAGTGACAATAGTTCTGTCTTGTGGATAATTCTACAACAAGCAGGCATGTAAATAATCTGGAAGAAACATCTACATCTTGTGAGATTTATAGTATGTTTAAAATCATAAATTTTTATGTGTCAGCTTAGGAAGTCTAATACACTCAAAAAGGCTCTTCAGAATAAGAATTTACCTAATAAAGAAGGGTTGTCAAGATTTTATGTATTGCACAAAAATGGCAAACTCATGGGAAGTATCCATTTTTAGGGAGGATATAGGCTTTAAAACTGTGGTCTGTCTGTATAGATTCCCAAAAAGACCAGCATAACAGCTGGGAGAGTTAGAACTTCTCTTGCAAAAAGAGGACTTACGAAGGTAAGGTGGCAGACAATAGATAAGTCCTAAAAGTAACAGCCAGCTTCTCTGCTGGAGCACATGCTGAGGAAAAGCTTAGGTAGTTTTGCTCTGTAAGGAGGCGGTTTTGATTACTTTGCTTGACTAAATGGTTGTCTTTGTGTTTTATTATAAATAATGAAGATATTTTAGTGCATTTGGTTTTAAGGTTTATTCTATGTTCCAGTCTCCAAACTGAACAAGGTGTTGCTCAGGAAAGGGTACCGGGGGAGTACTACAAACATTAACAAGGAATGTAAATTAAAGCATTGATTTGGATTATAGATTGAAAACTCAGTTTTAACAGTTGTTTTATAGAGAAATCTGGGAGCATCAGTCCTAAGAATCCTCCAAGCTGAATCTTCTTTTGTTATTACAGTGTAAAATATTTCATTGTATTAAATCACGTCGTTAAGATGAGTCTTGAAACACATTCAGTGTATTATCACAGAGATGTTTCAGGTTATTTTGTAATATTTAAGATATCAGTAAGTGGAATTAGACCTCTCCATGTTACTTGTGCTGGTTCTAATTTAAAAAGGGTAGGTCTTTTAATTCAAAGCTATAGTGTTCTAGTCAATAAACTAATTGAAATTAAAAAATTCCCTGGGAATGTTAAATGCAAACAGTGAAATTGGGATCTTAATGCCCAGTTGTAGCTGTGGTGACAAATGTTTTGTGCAAATGGATTTTCTTTGTTTAATAGTTTTCTTTCTGATCTCTGACATTTACAGAACAACCGACGATACGAAGGACAATGCACAGTGTGTGTCCTGATGACATTTTGTGTGCTGCAGCATGGTTCTTGTCATGGCATCTGAGACTGAAAAGGCCCACGCTCTTCTCCAGACTTTTAGCACAGCATCAGTTATTTCCAGTCTAGGTTTGGGGATATTCTGCTTTGTAGCAGACAGACTCCTGCAGTTTTCCTTCATTCAGCAAAATGACTGGCTCCGAGCCTTATCTGATAATGCAGTGCATGGTATACTGGGGATGTGGTCCTGGGCAATAGTGATTGGACTCAGGAAGAAAAGTGACTTCACTGAGGTCACCCTGGCTGGCTTCCTTGCCTCTGTCATTGATGTGGACCACTTTTTTCTTGCTGGGTCTCTGTCATTAAAGGTAAGTCAACAGATCACTAATTTGTTAATTTATCACTGTTTATGTTCCTGTTCTTCTACCACGTCCCAGACCAAAAAAGTTCCATTGATAATTTAATTAAATACATTTCATAGATATACAGAAATTATGTTTTTATGCAGTTGTTACAATTTTAAAAGCCATAAAAATATTTTACATCTAGTGATCAGTTTCTGCTACTTAGAAAGGAAGAAAAGAGTTTTGCACATGTACATACTATTCTACATGTATCATATAGTTGCTTTGTTATCCAGCTTAAGGAGTTAGGTGCTGCCTTGCACACTTTTGTGGGTGAAGTGGATTATTCTCTTTAGAGTAAGGGTTAGAAATACCTGAAATGTGGGACAGGAATACATGAAATGTAAATGACAGAGCTTCTGTTTAGTTTAATTCAGTCATTTATTTTAGCTGGCCCTAAATGTTTCTCCCACGAACAAGCTGTATGTGAGCTGTCACCTTTAAAAAGGCAGTCTGACTTGCATTTAAATATAGTTCATTGGAGAAAAAAAAATTGTAGACAAGCAAGCATCAACTTATTAATAAATGTAAAAAGATGAATTGGCACTTGTTAAGCAGCGCATGGATCAGCATCTCTTTGCAGAAGTGCTTGTTAGGACAGAGTTTCTCAATAGCAAAGGGAGGGAGGGAGGTCCTGTTTTTTATATTTGTGTAAGTAAAGAAGAACAATAGTTTACCAATTTTTAAAAAATAGTTAGGCTTAGGTGACAGCTAAGTGCAAGATACTGCTTTTAGTTGAGATGTAAAAATCAGACTTACAATGGAAAAATAGATTTTGTCTCTGTTTATTGTAGAGAAAAGATGCCTTTTATTTGTGCATTTGGTCTGTTTTCCCCTCTTGTCTTTACTGGTGCTGAAGAGAAAGGGAAGAATTGGGTCCCTCAGCCTGCTGGCCACATTCCCAGCGCAGTCCAGGATGCCACTGACTACCATGTTACCACATGGACAGTGAGGGTCCAGCATGTCCTGGTGCCTGGCATCACTCTTCCCTAAGCAGTCCCTGGTTCTCCCCTTTTCTGTACTTCTTGCATGTGGAAATGCTGTGGAATTATAAAACTATGTAAAGAAAATGAAAGTTAGCTTGATTGATTAATGGGTTGCATAATGCTATTACAGAATAACAATATGGAATAGAATTTAAATCTCCAATTAGTCTCATCTCTTTTTTCTTATTTTAAAATCAGTGAATGCAAGTAAATGAATGGCTAGATATTAGAAAGTATTAAAATTTTATTGCTGCTTTTTCATGCATTTGAGATGATTATTAGTATTTTTCTTAATTACGACCACTAGATGTCACAATTCAGCGATGTCCGTTTGAGAAGTTCACTGTTGAATTGTGTTATGGAACTGGGAGGTGACCTGCCACTTTGGTAGTGAGGCAAGGTTAAATACACTTACACCTTCCTTGATGGGGAATGTTTGTGCAGCCTAGCCCATCCCTACTATGTGAAACCAAGTAAATTTTTGTAATTTTGTGATTTAATTTCTTCCTGTGTTGTTTCAGTTCCCAAGCAGATAGCAGTATATTTTCTAATTGTTCATGACAGTTAGATCTAGTTCTGTTGTTCTTTAAGGTTTGGGTTTTTTTGCAAAAGACAGCTAATTTCTGTGCTCTGCCCCAGAATGTTTTTCGAATCATAAACACAGAACATTGCAGGTAGAACCACAGCCCTTTTAGTAGCCAAATGTATTTAGTGAGGTAAGAAGATAATATGCCCAGAGGTTTTTTCAAATTATTTGCCTACCAACACCTTTGCTTTATATATGTTAACTGGGCTAATAAAGGAAATAATCTAGTGTTAGGTCTCTTGACTCCTAGAGCAAAACCATCATTATAATTTGCAAAGCCTCTATGTTTTGCAAAGACTCTCTTCTCAACTAACATTTTTTTTAAAAGTCTTCAGGAAATAAATTTATATTTTCTAAACCTCATACTGTTCTTCTCATCTCCTATGTATTGCTTTTTTGCCTAAATTACCTCTAAAGTGTCCTGTCCAAAACCATGAGTAGTATTTTAGGTGAGACTTCATTTGAGCCAAATACTGTAGTTTAATTCCTTTCAATGGCAGAAAAGTACAATGCTTCTGTCCTTTGAAAAAAGAATAATAATCTGTTGCAGGTTTTCTCTTCTTGCAGTGCCATCAGAGTCCCTTTGGTTTGTGATGTAACATAATTCCCATAAACTTTTTTTCTGTGTGCTGTCTGGCCAGCTAGATTTGATTGCAATATATAATTTTTCTTTCCTTGGTTTTATATGATGTGCCTGTCAGTTTCTTGGCATAATTTCAGGCTGTCACTTACATAATTTATTACTTCATGGGATACTTTTTTACTATATATTTGGTAGTTACAGTCCCATTCTTTGTCTTTAAATTGCATGGTTGAGAGTAACTGCTTTAAGAGACTAACATGTTTACTGCTTTTGCAACACATTACCAAATAACTAATAAATTAATAAGTCTCATTAACCAACCACACCACTATTACTAATTTGCACCAATAGTATATTTCACGTTACTGTACACAATCACCCATAAAGCTCATCATCACCACTTTTAAATCTGATGACGAGTTATTTTTTCTGGAGTAACCTTTCTGTGCGGCACAAGGCGGTACTGCCTTCTACCTCCAATTGCTACCTTCACACTACTCTTGGCACCTGCTTCTGTTCCTGCTGACGCCACTCAGCACTTGCATTCTTTGGCCATTGGTCTGTTTTTCATGGTCATCATTATTTTTCTGCAGTATTCAGGGTAAATATTCACCTGTGGTATTTGTATGTTTGCGCTGATAAATACTTGTGTACCAAGCACCATGTGATCTGACCTTTTGCCCACATTATTTTTGCAATGAGTATGATGTCTACAATGACTCTGCTATTTGGAATTTGTAGTTCTTTGTGCTCCATGTGGTTTTTACTGTGCACACAAGTATAGAAGAACCTGTCTCGCTGACTGCTCCGAAGGTGGTAGTTCCTGCAGGCTGTTGTCAGTTGTCAGTTGCTGGTATGACATGTTTACCTGCTCCCAGACTCCCCCAGGATTGTAGCCCAGACGCTCTTGTTGCAGAACAGACATGCAGAAATTGCTGTCTTGGTGCTAAAGAGTCACCAAATTCTAAAAGTGTAGAACATGCAGACGGTGGCAAACATACATAACACTGGCACTGCTGGGAAATGTGCCACCCGTGACTGACCTGGGATGTACAGGAGCATTTCTGGAACTAGAGAATAAGCTTTGCACAATCACAATTGGTTTACATATTGAATATGTTACTATAGTTTTAATATTACTTCTATATGTTACTATAAAATAAAGACTTCAGGCTTGTGAAGCACCACAGAATATCAGTGAGGAGGGAGCATCTGTTATTACATAACATCCATGGTGTTACCATGAGCATTAAAGCAAATAATTTGCGTGGGTTCTCCTGCATGCAATTATTGTATCCTGTCTCCAGCTGCTCATTGTAGTGAGAGAGGCTGGAGGAGCATCAACTGCAAGATGATCTTGCATCTGATTGCATATGTAGGCAAATGGAGAAGGTCATTTGTAAATAAAATCTGTTTGCAACTTTTTCCAGGAGGTTTAGGCAGAAAAGGCTTGGGGTTTTTAGTGTTTTGCAGTGGGCTTTTTTTTAATTTTTGTTTTGTTAGTTGGTTTTTTTGGGTTTTGGTTTTTTGGGGTTTTTTTAAGATTTGGTGCTTTCTAAAGGCAAACATGTTTGCTTTTTAGGAGAAAGAGAGTATAGCAGCTTATATTAGCAAACTGAACTACCTGTCTGTCTCCAGGGCTTGGAAACTCAAGGATGTAAGTGCTCCTTCAGTCACAGAATGTAAAAGAGGAAACAGACTGTTCTCTCAGACCTTGGGCAGCAGCATATCAGAAATTTGATGGCTGTACTGCAGTTATAGAATAGAACTTTGTCTTGCTGAAACTGAAGACAACCCTCTGTCTGAAATTTATATGAGAAGAATTTATGCATTACCTTGGCACCAATAGTGATGTACATAAGTAATATTAAAATTTTCCTTACTCACTGTGTTGCTGTTGGCACCTAACCTTAATAGGCCAAAGGGAAAAGATTTAATTTAGACTTTGCTACCATTTTTTTCAAAGTGCAGAAATAGAGGCCAGTCAGTAGATTATCTGCCAAAACATACCACTATTCAGGTTTTTTCAAAATTAAGTTAGGATGTACTTTTGAGCCTATTGTTGACAGTAACAAAAATTGGACTCTTTGTAAGGCAGGTGATAAACAATTTCACCAGTAAGGCAGGTGATAAACAATTTCACCACCACAAGATTTTTCTACCTTAATCCATGAATAATCTGCTTGTTTGGAACAGAACTGAAGTTGAAGAAAATACAGTGTTTGCTGCAACTTAACGGAATTGGGTCCACAACATTAGAGTTAAAAATTGTTGAGACAGTTTGTGAGCTTTTAAATCCCATTACTTGATCAGGAGTCATGCACAAACATGTGGTGAGAAGGTAATAGAGCAAAGCTTTCTGCAGGCCTTTTAAGGTTGGCTGTGGTTTAAAGCATGAGCTGTTGTATTTCAAGGTAGTCCATATCTTCCCTTCTGTAATCAGTTAATAAACTGGCTAAGGCTATATCAGAGTTTCCTTGCAGAGAAGATAGTGTTCCATGCAGTTATCTAAATTATGCATGAGCTTGATTAACCTATTCCAGAGTCCCACTGCCAGGCCCTCTTGCTGTTGAATCCTGCAGGGATTAACACAAGTGAAGAATGAACAGGTTAGAGGTGCTGTGTTTGCCTTCTGCACTAGGTGCAGTGAGGGATGTGTTCAGCACAGCAAAGATGTCACCTTACATCTCTGGGGCCTTGTTACAGGTTTTCCGAGTGTTCCCCAGTAACTGAATTGAGCCAATCACGTCAGCACTTCTGTAGAACTTCTGGTAGAGTGCTGTTGTTTCTCCTGTGCTTACAGACACAAGAATCTACTTACTAGTATAGTAATCCAAATAGTAATCCAAAATACCATTGCTTTTTTTATTGTGTTTGAATTTGGAGTGATGGTTGTAGCTGTTGCTACTGAGTACACCCACAGAATATCTTCTCAAACATGTATATTAAATTGACATTATCTCTTCTTAAAATGGCTAAATCTAATCACACTAGCTAGACACTCACCTTATTAAAACCAATTATCAGGCTTTCAACTGAGTTACTGTTAAACAAGTTGTTCATACAAAAATCCCAGTCACAAATGCTTCAGATCTTCTTTTATGAATGAAGATTTGCCTGTCCATGAAGAACACTGTCTCAAGGTGATCAAAATATATAACTTTGCTCATATTTTTGTCATATTGAAAATTATTTTTGTGTTTTAAACACTGTGACACTTAAACCAATTATACAGGTGACAGCTGTAGTAAAATAGAGGATGTATTTTTGGGACTAAATGCCATTAAAGCACATGATTTATTTCAAGTAAAACATACTAAATATTTAAAAGTGTATTGCATGTCTGTTTTCCTTTTAATTATCTTGAAATTAAATACATGTAATCAGTGCAGCAGATTATACAAGTTCCTGTGTACCACCTGACTATGTGACAAATAGGATTCCTCATCCCTCTCCCTCCCTGTGTTGTTGATGGTAGTACTTAGTACGATGCATGATTCATGTCATATAATAGAGACAGGGAGCACACAACTCTCATGCAGAAAATTAGCTTTATATTAATTGCAATGGAAAGGAACAGTATGTTTTTCTTTCTGCTTCCACTTAGTCACCTGACAGTGCACCTGTAAACACTCATGACATTTTTCTTCTCTAGTCACAGGTGCAGGCATTGGCAGTAATATTTTTCTCTTCTGCAGGCTGCTCTGACTCTTCCACGGAGACCACTTCTTCATTGTTCTACTGTGATTCCTGTGGTGGCTCTGACATTAAAGTTTATCATGCAGCTTTTCAGGCTTAAGGACTCATGGTGCTTTCTTCCCTGGATGTTGTTCATATCCTGGACTTCTCATCATGTCCGTGATGGGATTCGGCATGGCCTCTGGATCTGCCCATTTGGAAAAACTCCTCCCTTGCCGTATTGGCTGTATGTGGCAATTACAGCATCTTTACCTCATCTATGTTCATTTGTTATGTATTTAACGGGCACTAGAGAATTAATGTCCATAAAACACGGAATCCGCATTGATGTATAGGAATAATGGCTTTTAAAGGTCGTTTGTGCTAGCACTTGAAATAACTTGCCTGTCTGTCACTGAAGGGTTTCCTTGTGTTTCCTACACCTTCTGAATTAGGCATTTTAAGGTTGTGGAGCCAATTATAGCTCTTGTGGCAATTCCTTGTGGTCATAGAACCTATCTCATGAATTATAATAATTTTATATCTGTACATTTGCCTTGTACAGTGTGTGGTCTTCCATGATAGTTCATCATAGCGAGCTGATTATAAAGTACTTAGTTCCTCTCTGTAGTAATTATATTACATTTTACTGTTATGGTGCCATTCACTTGATCACCATTCACTTTGGATTTGTATTCTGCGTCTGGAGAATACATTTCATCCAGATAGTATTTGTATAGCACTTTAAAAATGTGAAGTTCTATATAAATGCTAGGTATTATTGAGGATTTAATATTGTATGGCAATTAAAAAAAAAATCCCTCCATTAATGGCAATTAAAAAAAAATCCCTCCATTAGTCTTTCCAATTTATTAATAAGTTAGGATTCCTGCTGGATTTTTGTATTTAACCATTTTAAAAGGAATACCACCCATATTTCACACTGTCTATCCACACCTCTCTGAACCTGTAATCACAGAGTGTTTTACTAAATTCTATATCCCCCTGTAGTTGCTTGGTACTAAATTTGCAGATAATTACTAGGCTCAAAATTAGAAAGACAGTTTGGTTATAGTATTATGGTGTGTTGGCCAAATTGTTTAATTTTTTAAAATACACTAATTATGAATACTGTTTAATTTGGAACCAGGGAATTTTTGTAAATATTTAAGAATCATGTGAAGATTCAGGGAGACACAAGAAAATAAAAATTGCTTATAACACAGGTTTGCTTAAAGACATTACTACTCAGTAAAGCATTTTCCATTAAGTGCAGTATCATCCTCGTAAGTGTAAAATAAAATGCATTATTACTATTATTATTATTAAACAGAAATATAAATTTCCTCATAAAGAAGATCCATAAGGAAAAGTGTTATTATGCTGCAGTTTATGAGATAGTAATTTGCACTATGGACTATTCAGTTTTCATTTATAGACATCTCTCAGAAAGAATCCCAAATTAAAAGTTGTCTGGTCTTGTCTAACTAGACAAGTCTGTCTAGACTTGTGTAGTTTATGAGGTACAAGCTGAGAATGTCTTTTAATAATTTTTAAATTTTTTATTCACTGCCCGGTAAAGAGATGGGGCCTTAACTACTCCAGCTTGTGATGAATAGCTGTCAAAGGGGATCATTTTTATGGAACTGCATGTATAAGGTAGCATGTGTTTAACTTAGGTTACCAAGGGGGGTAAGGGTTTACGTGATGTGTACATTTACATTATTAAATGTATATCAGAATAAAGTTTAAAAAAAAAATTATTATATGGGATGCCTGTCATAATGAGTACCAGAAACTTTCTGTGGCTGCAGAATCCTTAAGGCTCTTTGCAGCACTCTATGCTAGTCATGGAAAGTGTTGCACGTCTTTAAAATGTGTCTTTGGACCAAAAGAAGTCCCTGTCCTGCCTGTTCTTTATATTAGAAATGTATGCCAATGCAGACTTGCCTGATACTGCAGTGGGCCTGTCTAGCCTTTATTATAAAATGAATAAAAGGTTTAATTGTTGGAGAGAAGATTGGAAGAGCAAAACATTCCTTAGAGGGTTATCCTCACGCTGTGGATTTCTGTCCTTTAGAGTTTTCCAGAAACAGCATAGGAAATGTCTTGCTTCAGAGCTTCAGATCAAAACTGGTTTTCATCCAAAGGCATGGTGGTTTACTGGAGGAGCATTGCTCATTCATTTACTCCTCTCCTGTATTTTAAACAACAGTCTCTGAAATGCCAGTAATGAATAAATTTTGTGCAAGGGGTGAACGCTGAAGCCTGTGTAGAAAATTTTCTGTATTCTTGTTTCATGGTGTAAAGTTTGTATAATTTTGTGCTGTATCCAGATTTTTTGCAAAGGGAAAATTATATAGGAACAAGGTGTAGAATTACACTTTCTCACTTTCAGACTGTAGCTGTAGCCTTTCTGGTAACTGTATGTCTACCCACAGTCCTTAAGATCAGTACTGTACTGTTCTAGCTATGTTTAAGGACCAGTTAATGGGTACATATTCAGTAGTTTAAAACTACATATGTTAATTCTCTTTATGTCTAGATATTTCTGTGTGAGCTTTCTCAGTAACTTTGAGCTATATTTCGAAACAGTATTTTTTCTTACACCAATTCTACCACAGCAATAGATGAGCCCTACTGAGACACATACTAAGGAAAGTAGCAAGTACTTTGTACCATGACTTCTCTCCCTCCAGACAGAGTGGCAGTCTCACACCTCAGCTTCCTGTGTGAGCTCTCTCAGTAACTTCGAGCTATATTTCGAAACACTATTTTTTCTGACTGTGTTCTTACACCAATTCTACCCCAGCAATAGATGAGCCCTACTGAGACACATACTAAGGAAAGTAGCAAGTACTTTGTACCATGACTTCTCTCCCTCCAGACAGAGTGGCAGTCTCACACCTCAGCCTGACATTTAGGCAGCTTTCACTGAGGCCATCGGCAGCTTTTCGAGGTAACCTGACACGTGGCAGGTACTGCTGTAATTTGTGGGTAGCCAGGGTAGGGTAGGAAGGGGAAGTTAGGTGTTTGTTCCAGCCTGTGTGTCGTGGGCAGAGTGGGAGCTACAGAGATTATAGAGAAGCCCACCCTGTTGAGTCACAAGGCACAGACAGGACCCTCTTGCTTTTTGAACTCCTCATAGAGACCTCTGGGTGCAGCTGGATCCTGCCTTAGCCCCAGACCCTCTCAATGGTTTATGCTAGTGGATTAAATAGGCATTATTGAACCTTTTCACAGCTTTGCCCCAAAGGATTATGACAAACCAGAGGTACTTATATAAAAATAAGTTAGGGTTATTATTAGGGTAATAACTTACTATGATAATAATGAGACTAAAAGATCTTAGTCATAATTATTTACTACACAGTATAGGTGGCTATAAGTTCTAGTCTAGTTCAGTCCACTGTTTTTGAAGCAATATTGAAGCAATTATGTTAAAGGTAGTGAAAAAAATTATGAAGTAAAGATTGATTTTATTCACCCACACCAATGACTGCGGGCAAATCTCTTTCTCTCAGCTTCGAGAGATTTTCTTTCATTGAAGCAAATCCCAACTCAAGGAAGGAATCTCCAGAAAGGGGATTCTTGGAAGACCCTCCCCACTCATTAATAAGTGGGAGTGGGCCTTTGTTACCAGGCCAGCTGGGTCAGTTCAGCATCTTTAAATAAGTTAGTAGTAGTAGTAGTACTACCAGTTGTTTGTTGCTTTATCTGGTACTTAACCAGATCTGCCACACGTTCTCCTTTCTGCCAGGTATGTTTGACTCTGGGATTGATGAGTCAGGCTGGTTTCAGCATTCAGCACCAAAAGCACCAGGACAACTCCCTCCTCCATTCACCACGGATAGCTTTGCAAACAGGTCATTATTCCAGCTGTTTTACTGCCATCCAAGCAGAGCATCCTGCCACACCTCCTCACCAACACCTGCCTGCTACAGGTGAATTGCCCAACAATTCCTTACCAGTATTTCATGTGCATTTCAAATTCACTGATGTTTCCAACTATGCATCAATACCGTGTCTACCAAAACCATAAGCAAAATAAACCAAGATAGTAAAAATATAATGACTCTGTGCTTTACTGCATGCATTACTATAATGGGTAAATGTAAAATACAAAAAGCATGTGAATTGCACAAAACATGGCTTGCAAAGTCAAGCTAATGATGTTGTGCACAATGTCTGATACACGTCACTAAAATACTAGGTTTTTCAGTGATTCTTTTAATATACCAATCTAAAAATTTTCCATTTATTTTCAAGTTGAACTTAAAAAGTTGAACAGTGTTGGGGTTTTGTGACTTACTTTGTTAGAACTGTGCTGCTTTTTGTCTTGGTTTGATGGATTTCTGCTGTAAAAAATAGGTACTAATAGCCCAAGTTAAAGAAAAATGTTTCTCCTCCCCAGTCCCTGGAGAAATAAGATAAAATTTCTGCTAATTGCCTAGTGGCCTTAACAGAATGCGTGAACATGTTTCCTATAGCTTTGTATTCTACTTTAAAATCTAATCTGTATTTTCACCTGATTGTTGATATCATTTTTTACTACAGTGCAGTATATATTATATCAGATGCCCTTAGTAAGGTACTGGTAAGTGAATTATTCATAACTGATCCCATGCCCCAAAGGAAATTATGCTAAGTTTGAATTAAACTGAAGTAATTTTTTTAGCAGGCCACTGATATTGACTTATTATGAGAAGAACATTTCTTCTGCTAATGGAAATGAAGTTTCAGAAGGAGAGAGAAGGGGTTGAAATTCTGTCTGAAGGAAATGTTAGTACACAATTACAGTCACAGTTAATTTTGGACACATACATTTTTATTCCATCACTGTCAGTATGAAGCTAAGTGATGAAATGCATCAGAAGACTACATGTCTGTTTGTGTAACTGAGCCAATCTAAATTCTGTCAATTATGCAAATCTATTCAAGACAGAAGAAATTTTGTATTCTCAGTGTTACATGTGAGCTTTGATCAGCTGGTAATTTTGAGCCCACAAACTAGGTTTTGTTTGCCTGCTACAGGTGGACCTTGCATTGAAGAAAAGGAGCAGCTGTCAAGTTGAAGTACCCTTTGTGTTCATCACAAAAAAAACCCAGTACTAATGCTTTTCCTCAAAATTATAAGCTGGTGCCTTAGGTTCGTTCTTGAAATTTCCCAAATTTTACACCCTCTGCATTGAATTTTTTAAGTTATATTTTCAAACTGCTGCGTTGTAGGACTGTTTCCTGTTATTTAAACCTGTTATTTAAAACTTTTTCCTATAATTAAAGTTAAATGGTACTTGTATTTTTTATATATACATACATATGTGTATGTGTAATATATATATATATGTTTATGTATATATATGTGTATATGTATCGCACACTGATACATACACATCTTTCCTTCTGTGTTCATACAATAATTTTGCATCTGTTCAGCTAATTTTGTATTGGTTTTTCCTGGAGTGAGGAGAAGTGTTTGTCTCACTGACTGGGGAAAACCAGGCATGCTACAACTTAGAAGAAGATTAGGAAATCTTCACATATTGAAAACAAGAAGAGAGATTATACTGTCCTTTTGATGGGAGAATTCAGTAGGTTTCTAGGCAGTTCTTGAAAACTGATTTGTTTAATCAAAACTAATAGACTGAAAACATTTGTCTTAGTAAATATGAGTGAACAATCTTCATTAAATTGGATTTGTGTAATAAAACTTTTGCAGGGATAGTCGGCCAAGTTTCTGTTGCTATATCCACCACAGAAACAACTCCTTTGGCCTAGAAATGTTAGTAATATCCCAGGAGCTTTCCTTATGTTTCCAAGGGAATTTAGTATTACTTTGATTTCATTTTTCCCTTTAAAAAATTAAATTGAGCAAGGACTCCCTGTGTGGTGTGGGGTAATTTCCTTAAACTGCTGTCCAGTCATTCACATCAGTTTTTATAAATGATCCAAAGAAGCTCAGTACAGTAACACCGCAAAAGAAATTAAATTAAAGGTAGTGGACATAATATTGACATAAGGAATTTAAAAGGTACAATGCTTCTAGCTTCACATTTCCATTCAAATTGCTGATAATCAAAACCACCTCCTTTTTATGTATCAGTGCCAGAAATTTAGAAGCAAAGTTTGTGGTGACTGCTCTAAAAATTTCAGCTTTTTGTGGGCCAAGTAAGATACGAGTAGCAAGGCTTTATGAATGTATTTCCAAAAAAATCATTGTGTCATTGTGTTAATGTAGCTGTATACAATATGTAGATACAAACACTCAGTTATTTCCTGGTCTTATTGTGGAAACATGGTTGTGGCATGGGGAGGTTTGGTACAAAATGCTGTAGCTAGCATTAACCTTTTAACTCAAGTAATTTTTGTTTCATTAGTTCATGTGGAGATAGATCTTCCATTCTATTTGATATATTTTGTTAAGGTGAAATCTAGTGCTTTGCCAGCATCTTTTGTGTGAGTGTTTTGTATGCCTTGTACAACATGAATAAGCAAAGCAGAGGCACTCAGAACTTCAAAAATGTGTGCACATGATTTATTTTTAATAAAATAAATCCTCATGGTGAAAAATAGTTCCTCATGCTTTAGCATCATGCATCTTGCATTTAAATATCTATATAAATGTTGACCAAATGGTTTTTCAAGTAATTTTATATGGCTACAGAGACACTGTTAGTGTTTAATGTGTTCTCCTGGTGCTTGATTTAACTCAGGTTGGATGATAAGCACGATCCTACTGCCTCAGTGTA